TAGGCAACAACTGCATATAACTGATATGTTATAAATAATTGTCTTATTTAAGTACGAAGAAATTCGCTTGATATAAATGTTCCTGAAACACTTTTTGCCTCAACTCGGAACTAATGTGTTAATCTGATGTATTTTAATAGGCGCACATGTCATAGTTTATCGAAACATTAAATTATTACGTCCAATTAAAATGAAATTAAATTTTTATGTTGTTTTCAAAATTCATAATATGGCAACCGACAGAATTTTCACTTATCTCAAACGATGTCGATATTGCTCTTCCGAGAATTCGATTCGAATATACATATGGAATACGAAGCGTTTCCTGTTAATAAAACTATCGTTAAAATTAAGCAAGAGGAAGCTTATTTCATAACCATTATATCAATTAATAAGTGAAATTAAAAAAATCTACCGGTGTTGAGCCAATGCGAATTTTAAAATAAAGCATTGATTGTAGGAAAAACTCCAGATTGACCTAGATAATAGAAAGTCAAATGTACTTTCTATGCAACGATTAGCGAACCAATAGGAAATAAAAAAAAGTGGAAATTGATGTCTATGTTATGTAAAACAATATAAGCGTACACGATATTTGATATAAACAGACCCTCTAATATTATACCTACAATGCGATATGTAATAGCGATAGCGAATTAAATTTATGGCTGTCATTATATGAAAATACGGTTATTGTTTATGTTGTGATTTATTGTCATCCAAGTTTATTCTTTCAATTTATACTATAATTCATTATGACGTCCTTTTACCACCTTTATTCGCTTTCTAAGTTTTTTTTGCATTTCTACATTATAATAATTTCTTTCGTTAATTATAAATAATTAAAGAGATGATAACTTATGTTACGCAAATACATAAAAACACCACGCGACTGCTGTTGAAACTTAAATGTTCTCGTCAAATTTTAATAGAAAAAATAATCTATATTTAGAAATTTAATTAAAAACATTCCTGCGGGTGCAATATGAAATACTGCAAAGTCCGATGATTGACTTGTCACATATTTATTGAATTTATAAAATATATAACGTTAATAAACGTTTTATCAGCTTCGTATCTTTCTCATCGATCCGAATATCATCCGACAGAATAAATACAAAAGCAAATTTTATTTTGATAGGTGAGCAAAAAAAACGATTTTTCATTTTGAATATGACACAGAGATATAATAACATTATTTCCGCATAGAAGAATTATGCAAACCCGACATTACGTTACAATAGCACATAAGTAAAGAAAATACGACCGGATCCGATCCTGCCGCTTTGTTTAATGAAAACGTATAGCTCTCTTCGTTAAAGGCCGACCCGTCCAAATGACCAGAACGGAATCCGGGGGAAAAATTCAAATTTAATGCCGCGAGGAAATTTATTTTACGTTTAAAGGACCTTTTAGCACCTGTCGTGTTGGCTTGTTTAGCACACAATTTAGTCGAAATTTAAACCATTTTCTTATTTATTTACTCTTGTATCACCTAAATTTTAGTTAGATGTGTATTTTTATTTTTTTGGAGAGCTCCTGAAATTTGATTCGTATGTATTATAAAAACTGACTCACTCTAAAAGTCAACATAACAGTATATGTTAATGGGTTGCAATAGAAAGTAACAATATTATTTTTATGATATCTACTAATTAGTTATTTAAACACCATTAGTGTCATTTAATTTGATTTTTTAGAACATCAGCGAAAGGCGTTTAATTCAATTTTGTCAAGTCATTCTCTGTATATATTTAAAGTTTTCCTAATGCCCTATAACTTACCGCCCAATTAAGTGAGCCAACTTAATTAAATGAAATGTCTGAAAAATAATTCTGGATAATTTATAATATTTTTCGAGCATGTGTTTAGCGCCACGAATTTAGAACGACTCGCGATCAAATTATTTAATACCTTACGTATGTCTAAATTTAGACAAGGTTGTTCAACTCTTCGTCTATAATCAATTGTGTTGAGCTATCCATCATTGTTTACAAGTATCGGGGCTATTGATTCTAATATGAATGATTTGTTAGATGTTCGGAGACTAAGGCAATGTCGAAGATATCGAGTAAGTACATTATTTGCTCGACAATAGAACAAATACCGTTCGCGTTCTTTCTTTGTATAACGTGAAATTCTCTAAAAATTGTAATCACAACAATTTGCATCCAAATTATTTTATAAACAAGATATAATTCATCGGCAAATTTACATGTAAAATCCGTTAATTAATAGACACGCGAAAGGTTAAATATTTATGAAACGATGAACTCTCCATTAATTTTGCGAAATTCCGCCTTCATTAAATGACATCCTCTCTTTGTTTTATATCCATTCAAATTCAATTTGACGAAATAGTTTATTTTAATATGCATATTATTCTTTGATACGCAAATGTATTACAACAGCGGCACTAAAACATAACGTATATCAGGCGCGTAATCAATAAAATATTCATTAAATTTGATTTTAAACAGCATAAATATTTCTCGCAAATTTAAAACTGGGATGAATTATTTACAAAACAATGCTATTTTATTATTACAAAATCAATGCACGCGAATTGATTATAACATTGTAGATTATTAATAACTTAACAGTTTTACTTCCATCTCAGAAGTTTTCTCATCTCTGCGGTTTGGTCTGAAAAATAAATGAATCTTATAGACAGCTTTACGTACTCTTTGTGTACATGGTCTAACATCTAGATCAAGTGGTGTTATTTTTAACTTAAAATACCGCGAAGTATAACCGTAACTCTTTGTTTTTATAGCGAACCGGTGGTCACTGTCAGACAATCCCAGCTCCAGCCTCTTTTGATGTCTGGATTCGCGTTTTAGACTGGAATCGTAATGAGTGACAAACTGAATACTAACTTCTTGTAAGTTATTACTGGTAAAAGCGGAAAAAGGGACGAGTACTGAGGCACGTTGACATTTATTTTGTAAAACTAATTACTCTTTGAAGACCAATGTTGTTTAAACGGTAGACAAAAGGTCAGAAATAGAATTAATGAGATCTCGGATGACTAATTTGTTAAATTTATAGAACGTTTAGTAAAGTTCATATTTTACTTCTGTGGCAAATTACCACTCGAAAGTTTATTACCTGTAGCTAAAATAATATTATTGAAAGACTCCATTTGTTTAAAGTTGAAGAATAATAATTGTTTTTAGTTTTGAAGAACCCTATAAATATAAACTTCGAAATCATCGTGCTGGTATTGTTCGCCTACGTCTTTCGTTTTGTATCTGAAATTTGTTTTATTTTGATTTGTGTTCCTGTAAAAACATAAATTTAACTAACCATGGAAGCGTTCGGTTTAAAAGTTTTCTCGCTTGATTTGTCTTTAAAAAATGTTCTACTCGATACTTTGAAACATCAGCCGGCGTAGGATGATAATGAAACAATTCCAGCGTAATTGATTAACATCTTACAATTCCGTTTGTTTTTATAATCAATCAACTACTACCATTACATCAAGAATATCGTGTTTAAACCTCATGAAGGTAACGAAATCCTTTCAAGCCTACCCATTTCCGGCGGAATATAAATTCGCAATTAAGTTATTGGACAAAGGTGAACCCGGTATGAATCCGATAATGTAATCACCGTAATCAAATTCAATCCATTCCATCAACCGGTTCTTTTTTGACGAAAAATGATTTCCTCACGCAACTATCGATACACTCCCTCGCCGAATTCCATAACGAAAATCGAAAATCTCGCGTCCCGCACGCACAGGATGGAACATGTGTTTCGATTTTCGATGGTATGCGGAGCGAACGCATCTTCCCCGCCGCTGCTACAGCCCACCCTGCAGCTTAAAGATGCTATTTTGACCTGGCTACCGTCCCATTACCCCAGTCTGGCGTATAGTGCCCTTTTCAGCATGCTGCTGAAACGCTGAAAGCCATCGGAATCGGAAAGCTCTCAGCGGCGTTGCCACCGTGGTCAAAAAATCGCAACAACTACAGATATTATATAAAAATAACGTTCCTTAAATGAATATATTTGGAAGTTGATAGTTTATAGTGTTGATTATTTAAATTAATTTTTGGTACCCTAAGAATTTCGTCGTGATGATGATATTGTATCGTTTTGTTTATATTTTTAAAAAAACTAGTTGTAAAAGCTAGCTATAGCTTTATAAAGCTACAGTTTTCTTAATCGATTGTTCTATTTAATTAATGGATTCCTTAGGTTTCCTCTTCATTTTGTTGATTCTTCAGAGCAATTGGTTTTTTGTTATATTTTAACATAAAAAAAACAATAAATGTTCTGCATCATTTAATTGTAAAGTTTGTTGTTATAAAGCTATAGTATTATAAAATTAGTTGTTGATGAAAAGAGTAATGCAGAGCGGCTTATAAAATACTACAAGTTTAAAAATAAAATGGATTTTAGCAGAAACATAATTAATATAAATTAATCACAATAAGAAAGCTTTAAAGTTAATAAAGAAATCACGTCACAAATATCTTGTGACAATGCTCCCAATTTTTCCACCTTTACAATTCACGAATATATTAACAAATTATATTGATGATTAATATGCTAAATGTGTAGTTAATAAGTTTTCATACGTATTTTATTACATTTTTTTTAACTGCTACTTTTAACTTACATATGTATACTCCGTCTATATTAACCAACTTTTTACATTAAACTATCGTCAACTTTCCTGAGTTACCTATTTCTTAATCGTTTATACAACAAACTTCTAGTTACTCAACACACCTTCGCATTATCATTTCACTGAAACATATAAAGCTAACTTTCATCTTATTAAATAAAATTTTCATCTTACTAAGTCAAATTTTCATCTACGTTAAATTTTATTCCTCATTAAAAGTACAAGAAATTTAGTATCCCGACTTTTCCCTTGTGCATAGTGGCAACTCCGCTCCGGTTCTGCGTTCGGGTAAAAACGATCAACTCGCAGAACTCTCGCGCTCCGCGTCCGCAAGCACGATATTCCGAGCCGCGGAGTTCCTCTTCGGTCTTCAGCTTTCAGTTTTCAGTACGATGATATCGCCCTACGCGTGCGGACCGTTGAATAGAACCGAAAAAGACGGGGAATACGGCGAAGAGCATGATGACTATTCGACAAGATATTCACAGTGTACGTGCGTGTTATTGGTGGAGTGGAGGGTTTTCGTTAACGATTTCTGTCGGATAAGGCCTAGTGGAACGAAGGGTTTTGAGTTAAAGTGACCGGAGTTGGTTGAAGCTAGTTTTTTAAAAACATCTGCGGCGATATATTGATTGTTACCGCCGGAGTTTTCGGGAAGGCAGGATTTTTTCGCACGGGAAACGATGAGTTATAGCTGAAATTCTCGCTGAAAGTGCGCTCGTTTTTCACGATTTTACATGATTTTCGTACGCAACTGTTCAAATAAAATTAAGACCGTATCGCTCATCAAATATTCCAACAATTCCGCTATTTTCATTGCTTTCTCTTCGGCAAATAATATTTGTTGATACAAGAAAAAGTTGGGTTTTCTGCCCAAAATCCAATTCTGCAAGCCTACACTTGTTCAATCCCAATTTTTGTCCGTCAAAATTAATTTATATTCGTTTTCACGAATAATGGTTTCATGAAAATAAAAAATACTTTCATCCTAAATTGCAACAGGCACTACAAAAGTACCAATTTTCAACCAGTTACCAGAATTCTGACTATTTTTGCGGATTCCCTAATTGTGCATCACTTTTTGATTCCTTATTTTCATAACTTTGTGAAAGTATTTTTGAAATATATCTACTCTTTCAATTAAGTTAAAAGTTCTAGCAAAAATTATAAAATTAAAAAGTATAGCTAAAAGATAGCTCAGACGTCAATCCAGTTCAAAATTAAAGTATATTTCTAATACAAAGATTCAACTTTTTGTGATTGACTGAAAATAGAGAACAAATTAAAGAAGTACAATCTATTGAATCCATAGTGAAATAATTAGCGCAAACCTTAATACAGAATAAATTTTATACTCCTAATAATACACCTTTCGGTAGATACCAAGAGAATGCAAGTCACGAAATAACAAGAACGTTTCCTACAATTCGTTTTAAATTAAATTAAAAGAACTTCCACCGAAAAAAGACTATACGGAAACTTTTCTAAAAATTAATAACGTTTTTGCGTTCCTCCCATTTTTCAAAAAACTTCCTCCTCGTCGAGCGTAAAGTTCTTCATTATCAAAAACTCGATTCGCCCGACATCTGGACGATGATGTCGTGAGTTGAAAAATCTTGAAAAAACTAATTGCCTTTTGTTTTGTCACGCACGAAAACACGATGCAAGTAGAGATAGAGCGATAAATAATGACCGAAATAGTTTGTCTCATAAAATTATTTATGAACGCCGCAATCGTAATGTAGATCTCTTTTTTTTTCAAAACAAACAATTAGACAACGTAAAAGGATGATCGTTTACCTCTAATATCGTGAAGTGGATACTCGAATATAATAGTGGGAATTTGTGGTTGAATACGTGGAAATTTAGAAACAATTTTTCAAAGGAATAATTACGATGGAAGAATTGGAAGTGACATTACGAAATGTTCAAGTCGGGAGAAATGCGTTTGTTCATAATTAATTAGTTTAAACCGCACAAAATGAGGATATGTGTCATGCATTTAGTAACACCATCTGAAGCAAACTAGTTAACCAAATCCTCAGAAATTCTATCTAATAATCGCAATGTTTCCATCGCGTAATTATAACTATTAGGTATACTAATACTAGCATTAATGTTAAATTATGGAATTTGTACAATTGTGGGGTGTTTGATTCGCGCAATATAAACATAATAAAATGATATTTGAGATAGGAGTATAGGTAAACGATTCAAATATTAATGTACTAATAGTAAACTATTAGCTTCTATTATAACATAGAAAATTTTGTGTTACATTCGCATTGGACCAAGTTAAATTATTACTCTATAAAACTTATACAATAGTGTAAAGCACTTTGTAGAAAAAAAAACTGTACCTATAAATCTATTTTCTTGTCATTTTTCTTATAATTTTTCGACATCTACACCAAAGACTTACACAAAGCTTTTGCCTAAAATCAATATTATAATACAAACATTTTACAATAAAGAATCCCCTCCTCGCATTCACCTAACATAATTTATATATTGAAGTTGGTTTTGTGTGAGCATTCTTTACGAACTGAAAGAACAAATTAAGAATACGTATTCGTTTTGTGCGTCATATTTCTCGAGCCGCCCTTTAACATCCCAAAATTGACAAAAAGAAGTTATTTCTCGGGAAATATAGAGACATACAAAATTTTTGATACTCCGACGAAAACAAAACCATCTCCATTTAAACGCCTCCCGAGGCGTTATTTTTAAATACAGTGATGGAAAATCGTTACGCATCGCCGGCATCTGAATCGCAATCGGGAATAAGATTTATGTATACACTTAAGGAGTTTAAACTCGGGATTGAATAGTTTCTAGACGGGCGATTCCCGGCACACAGCTTTGACCTATTTCGTACCTTGTGCCATTCGGTTCCCGAGGCGCGGAAATGAAAGCGAAATGAAAATATTACAGGACGGTGTTAAGCGCTTCAAGGGATGTGATATTTCGAATCAGAATCATTTTATGTGTCGAAGTTTATTGCCATTCCTTGATTCTGTATACAGAAGTAACGATCCTATTTATCAAAATCTTTTTATATCTTGAATTCGACTTGGTTGAGGTTGGGGAAGAGAAAGGATGATGCAAAAAATCTCAGATCTATATTTATTAACCAAAATACACACCTACGTGGCACCTAATAAATTAAAATGTGAAAAAAAAAGGTGAATGGGTTTGAATAAATTAGATCAAAAAACCCACGACCCAACGATAAATTAAACGTACCTGGTGCGTAAATATCATTCATAATAAACATTTTTCAAAAGCCCCTAATTTTCTTATCTGCAATCTCCTTTTTAAATAAAATACCCTTCGATAACCCTTCCTTTCTATTGACTATAGAGCGATGAGAGCAGTTAACAAAAGCTGGTAGGGGCAAGTTATTGAATTTTTTCCGAAGGTTTCCGGTTACACTTGATGATTACAATTTTCAGTTTCCTTTTCTTTCAAACATTTAATCGAAGTTTATCGAATCGAGTAATTGTAACATTCGGCGTTTGAAAAGTAGCTTCTTTATTTTCGTAATAGGTAAATCGAGTTTTAATTTCGTCTAAAATTAAAACCAAAATAATTGTGTTTACATTATTAGGAAACATTCAATATTCAAAGCGTGCATGAACGTTCAACATCAAACTATTAGTATTAATAGCAAAGCAACTTCCTGCGTTAAAAGATTTGTAATTTCGCGTTTAACGAGGCCATTTCAACCGTTCCACTTCGACTCGAAACGAATACCCTCTGCTCCGCCAAACTCCCAGAATCAGTGCTAATTTTTCGTATTTATCAGTGGACTCCTGCTCTTTTACAGGTTGCTTACTAGACGGAGTGCCCCGTCCTCCTGATGTGCCGCCCCGCAACCCCACAATGAGCCGATTGAACGGGAGGCTCGCCTCCGCACCTCCAGCGGAATCGCCGCAGGATTTCGAGCCCTCTTGCCTCGTAAGGACACCGTCAGGGAACGTGTATATACCGAGTGGAACGATTAGTGAGTTTCATTTTTTAGAAAAATTTCATGAAAAAAATGATAGTGGTGGTATCTTAAGGTAAAAGTGAATAGTGAAAGTGTGGCAAAAGAGTAGTGAAGATGAAGGATGAGATCGTTGAAGGTAGTATTATTTTTGAATAATTCAGGGTAGTTGGTTTTGTTTTGGAAATTTTAGATTTTTAATATGTTAATAGGAATCGGTTTGTCGATATGGTAATTATTCGTGAATCATGCGGTTATTCTGTATGATTAAAGACATTTTTATTAGAGAACTGAATAATTATAACTCTAAACAAAAATTAAGTAGAGTAGAATATAGATTAATTTATTGCTGCTATAAAATCCGCAATTAATTAATTAATCCTTGGCTAATGAATGGAGGGAAATTAGCGCGCCTTCGCGAGCAGATGACAAATTACGAAAAATTCGAACGCCTATATCGTTTTGAAATTGTACTGCATCAGCATCTATTATGTTATTGTTAATTCGGCCTTGACTCCGCGTTATCCTATTATTTTCAATTGATGCATGCTCATTGACCTTCCTCAGCTCTTGTCAAAGGAAAATAATGCGGTTCCGATCATTATCCTTAATGATAAATCAACAAAAAAGCGAACGGGCGAATATCGCCCATGAATGAACAAAAAAAAATTAAGAATTGAATTAGTTCGCTGCGGTCGGAAGAGGATGATTTCGTGATAATGCGATTGGTAAAAAGTGTATTGAAACCTATTTTTTATACAACCAGGCATTTCGTTAAGTTGGAAATTTTTTCCTAAAGATCATCCGGTATATATTTTCTGTTGTATAACGTGAAATTTTAATTAGTTCCGGTGTAATCGGAATTTATAATCAATTTGCTTGCTACATTCTATTTATTTTTACTATTACAACCATCTTTACACCTATTTTAGCATCCTAAAAAATTCATAAGCGTTTAAATTTTCAGTTTTCAATCTCCCAGTGGCCATTATCTTTCGTTTACATTTTTTAACGTTTTCGCGTCGGTGAATAGGCGAAAGGAAGTCTCGAATTCGCCGCGAACCTCGCATCGCAAACCTCGCATCGCAAACCCCTTTTTTTTCGTCGATACCTAAGGAGAAACGGGAAAGGTCCTTTGACCGATTTCCGCGTGGATTTCCGTCATTGCAGCGACCTCTGTGAGCCAGCTATCGGACTGGAGCTTTCCATTGCAGTCGTCCGGCTGCAGGGAATCGATCTACGTGGATTAGATTCAACCGCCTCGACTTATTCGAGAGGGTGGATAATAGACTCATAAGTGCTCCTATTTCTGCGCCCGATTGATGATCGATAACGTTCCTCTGAATTCCAATAAACGCAGCCGAAGGAGTTTGGGTTCATCGCTTTTGCATTCCACATACGCGAACAGTTTCTTCTACAACGCTTCTAACGTTATTAATAATTCATTTAATTAACAAAACCGAATTTTATTATTACATAAATTCCGAACGTTTATGCCAACAAGCGGTAGGTTATCTAACTCATTCCATTAGATCGTAACCCACGTTTTAATTATCCTTATGAACTCTGTTGTATCTTAAAGGTCCAGGTTAACGGTGCCGTTAAAGTAACGATTTGCATAAAAGGCCCATCTTACCACAAGAAATTTTTGACATTATGAAAATCGTTTCGGTTTATTACATACTAGTAAGCACTATTAGTCTTTAATTCGATTTTACTATGATAATAACAATTTAACAAGGAATGTTTAATTCCAGGGTATATTAATATTCAATTTCCTAATTATCGTTTGGCTTAAGGAAATAATAGTTTTCATTATAAATATTACTAGGCTTCATAATTTAATGTTGTTTTACAGAGGAATTAATATGATAATAAGGTCCAAATCGGAGGTAAAATATCTACACTCGATCGTTTTCGGAACAAGTCAGGAACAAGAAACATAATATTGATTAAAGGAATTGTGAAGTTCTGAACTAAATTCGAAAATCATTTAAGAAAGGTTTTGTAGTATAACGTAAAAAATAGCGTTACGCTATATTACCAGTCAATTGACAATATTTTGAAATTTTACTATTTGACAATCCGTCATGCATAAAAATTCTTTTAAATAGATAAAAATGACGTAATGGGAGTGCGTCAAAATAGCGTAACTCTCATTAATGGAAGCTCATCGTGAGGTGTAATAAAATGCTTCGAATGGCCACCATTCAACACAAAAAGCTCCAAAAAACGATTCGTGTAGTAGAAAGCAGATAACGTGGAGTTAAACCGTGAATATTCCATATTTTTTGAATAACCGCGTACAACCGGCCATTGCGCTAGTTCCCAACTATATGTGATATATCTCACAAAACTTATTTGGACAACAGGAAACACAATTCTGAGAGGAACCCATTTATATACTTCGCCATAATTGGAGTAAATTAACGAGTTGGCAAAATACCGCCACGTTTTTGCGTTAGTTACAGAGAAATAAATTAAATTGTAGCCATCATTTCATCATCATTATTTTCTGAGGAAACCAAATGGGTGCCTTATCAGTTAACAAGCTAACTAACTCATTCGATATTACTAAAATAATTATTTCGGTGCATTTCGACATCGAAATTTATTATGCGACAATTGTTCTACCTACGGTTTTCCTTCCAAATTAATTTGTAATAAATTAACTTATCTTCGACTAACAAAAATAATGGACTCAAATTAAATAAATTTGTTTTGTCGGGAAAATCCGAGATAAACTTTAGGACTTTCACTTCGAATATACGGCGCTTGAACATGTTCGAGACAAGATAATGCATTTTGTTTTGTTCTTGAACCTTAAATGGAAGTGAGGTGAAGGTCGATCTTACGTTTACGTGCTGCATTGTGGTAAAAAATTAATAACTAGCTACACAAATTTTATTCCCACACGGTTAATAAGGAATTTGAGTAGGTACTTATTGATTTATCATTTACTAGCAATTGCTTCTGTTGTGAAAAAATATCTTTTAAGTTGCGATTAACCAATGTAGCAAAAGACATCTGATAAAAATTTTGTCCAAAAAGGAACAATGATGATGCACAGTGCACATCTTTTTTAGACAGTTAATAATTCTTCAGCGAGTGTTCAGTATTCCGAGATTCTCGGAATGAACATTTCCCTGCATGTTAAACTGATGTTTAACGCCCACACAATCTAAATTAGTAACGTGGTAATGGAGAAGAAGCTTCTTCTTCTGGTTCGTATTAGTTGCATTTTGTTTATTATATTCGTAGAACCTGTTGCTGGGAACAAGGGCGTTTTGAATGTAAATGACAAATTAAACTTCATTAAGTCTCGATTTTACACGATAGTTTCTTGTTAGCCGGGTGATTAGTAATTCTCGTTGTATATGGGGGTATGTTTTATTAAAAATAATAGTAATTTATTCCAGGCCTCGCATAATTTAATGCATCCTATTATTTTCTGGTCGAGTTCATGTGTAAAAGTATCGAATAAATTTTCTTTATTTCAATTTATGTATTTTTTCCAAGCTCGCGGTTTTACTTTATCTACTAATTATTATTCAATTTATCAAAGATACAATTTGTTTATATTTATATGTTTGTTTAACTATTTTTATACACCTAACATCATTAGGATTATTAACTCGTTCTTTTTAGTGGTATTTCTACAAACCGACGATAATTAAGTTGTTATTCTGACATAACGTAAATATTCATCCACTTAATTCAGTGGTTATTTCTAAAAATATTACGATATACGCGATTATCTCATTCTATGATGAAAGTTCAGTTTATCCACGACAGCTGTTCCATTTTAAAACAACCAATTTTACAATATGCCTTCTTGGAGTGTTTGTTATTCTTGGCTAATTTTAAACCTAACACATGAATATTTTCTACCAATTTTTTGCCTCCTAACGACATGTTCTATAATTTGAATATAAAATCTCCTGCGCGCTCCCTTTTGAAGTTTTGATTCGATTTTAAAATCTTATTCAAGGAAAACCAAACCATCTGTTGGATTTTTGAAACATAAAACTCGATTAGACTACTGTCTGTCGCGTCCCTTAAACCATAACTTTCGCTATAACACTAAAATATGTCCATAAAATCTACATAAACTTTATTACTTTTTGGTTAACACGTCCCAAGAGGGTATATTGGATAAAATCGAAAATAAAATTATTACTGCCGAGCATCGTTGAGATAATATTGAATTTTAGTACTTGTAATTATTGTGTCGGATGTACACAGAGGTCGCCATTATTACCCAAGTTGACTCATAAAAGCATTTATGGCTTCTCTGTGTCCGCTCGGTTACATTGTTAATTTCACGTAAAATAATTTCCTTTTAGCTATTTGATCTTTAAGTACTACACTATCTACTTCTGGTTAAAATATGTTTATGGTTTTCAATTTGTACAGTCATTAAACCTAACGAATTGATTTCTAATAGCGATTAAAATGTTGTACAAAAACGGAAAATATCTCAAAATTTATTCGTTTTTGAATAACATAGATACGAACGAAGATCAATCACCTTATTCTTAATAGTTTCGGAATTAAATTCGACAAACTCCAGATTTATTTGCGCCGGAAAGTTCGGAGCGAATGAGATTCTTTATAATGATCTGTACAATCTTCCGGGGAATTGGATGATAAAAGTTTACGTTCTTGAGTTTGAAAATCTTACAGAAGTAAATAATACCTAATCGAGTAAAATACAAACTAAGATTTTTATTGCGGTTGCTTTCTCAAATCGAATTTACTTTGAAATGCAATCGATTTTGGAACACTTTACAGTTTCTTAAATATTTCTAACTAAATAATTCTATAAAATCGATTTAATTGCGGATATGCAACCTCATCTTATTATATTTACTCACCATCTGCTGAGTATACAACCCGAAATTATCCATTAAATTCCGTTAAAAAGTTCGAACGGATTAAAAAAATCCAACCACTATTATCGACCGAACAGATTTTTATAAAAGGTACTTTACCTACTCCCATATAATGGTTACAGATGGTGAGATTTGTTTTGTGCTCGGTCCGCGCAAGTTCACCATTTACCTTTTGATGGGTTATACAGATGACGTTCGTCTGAATTGGCGTTTTCGAGATAATTATAGGGGGTATCAGGTGGGCAGGATGGAATTAGAACTACAGTAAATTGGATATTTTCTTTGTTCTTCGCTAGGGCGAGCCTATTTTCGAGAGTGTCAATTTCTTTTAGAGTTATTATCTGAACCGGAGGTTGATCAGTTCTACGTACAGTTGTAAAAATGCCAAAGCGGCTATCGTAAAATTTGAGTTATGATTCATATTGGTTAGTCGACTTTTTTAGTTATAATAAAATCGTGCGCATAATTTATAGGTGAAGATATTAAAGAATACCGAAATTAATAGTCTCATACACACCTCTAAATCTGCATAAGTGGTTCAAGTCCTTTTTATTTTTACTTTCTGTTTCATCCTCAAAAAAAACTACCTGAGTCACTTTGAAGGTTTTAATCTCTGCAAACATTTTACTTCCAAACCATAAAAATATAATAACTTTTAATACCTACAATCGGAAACAATACAAAAATTCGCCGAAGAACGTGCTTCGTCAGCCAGCTGATGTTCTTCTCCCTTGATTATCTCCCATTTGCATCAAAAAAACCCAAAATCCGACCGACATATGTTGTGTGCCAGGTATAATTATTTTTTTAATTTTAGCGTCCTTTAGTCTTGTACAAAAAATCGTATACCTTACATTCGTATGCTTTACTCGGTTCTAATCGAAGGAAATCCAATTACAAATCGATGCATCCCTTTGATAATATTTATCTATTCTAGCCAATCCCGAATTTCTACTAGTTGAAACTGACCGATTAATCTGTCGAGCAAACGTTAGAACGTTTATCTTTATCCTGATGTTAAATGAAATTCAATTATTCGAAACGTAGGCGACACAAAATTGGTTTCGGTATTTTGTTTTCTGGAATAAGAGAGAAGGAAAAACAAAGGTATAGCTGAGGTGAGGTGGGTTTCTTCAATGGCGCACTCTAACATTGTAAACCCACTTTATTTTCGAAATAAATTGATTCAATGTCGTTGATTAAATATGCATTACATAATGTTAAAAACAATTTATTAATTCCAACTCTACTAGATATAATTGTAGTTTTTTTAAACTATTTTCATGTGGTGAAAATTGTGTATAAATATTTTATATAAACAGCAAATTTGTTAGTTTGTTAGCTATTAATAATAAATAAGTTTCAAATTCAATTTTTAATTACCTCAGCTAGAAACTAAATAATGAATTCACAAATATTATCGCAGGTAAAAAAGTGTTAAAGCGCCGCAGAAGCGCCACTGCCCTGCAGGAAGGTGCGCCCGATACATATATACATACACAAAGCTAATTTTAATCGTGTGTACTTTTTGACTTTCCTTTTTCGCCCGCCCTTCGCCGTTACGCAACGCATCACACGAGAGATTAAAAATTGGATCCCGAAAAAGGGTTCGAGTTTAGGCAATTGCTTGCTTTCATAATAATTTAACGAATGTCGTCCTAAATGCTCGGTGCGTTGGAAAAATTCCGAGGCGCGGGATATCCAGTTTCAGATGTTTATTGTAAAACGGATAATACCTAGCATCAGGAACGGGAATCCGGAGAGCGGTTTATTCCTGCCGGAAAAATATAGGGCTGCCTGCGCCGCAAAATACTCGAATTTAACGAATTAGACCACGGTAAATCGAGCATATTATATCGCTGTACATTTCTAATTTATATTGTTGCATATCTGTAAATATGCAGCTGCAAATTGAGCGTTATTTAATTTTAGAAATTTTGATAAAACCCCTTCTATCTTGTGCATTGAGGAAGAGATGTTACGAACGTAAAAAAGCCCCGACTCCTACGCTTTCCGCACAAAGATATCTTTCAGCGATAGAAGCGGTACAAAGTACTCGAAAACGAAACCGTTCTAACTACTAAATGTTTCGAAAGAGACGAAATTTTTTATGTGAAATGCTTTTTAGTTTTAATTGCATCTATAGTATTAACATCAACGAAATGAAGAAATTAAAATACTCGCCGGTACAAGTGGGTGCTTTTAAATTAATGGATATCTAATAGAATAATTCTCTACTATTTGATAGGCACTGTAATAAAATCGTGAGAACAAAATTAAGTGATTATTTTTCAATGAACATCTAGATTCCGCTAGTCTACTACCATTTAGGAGTTCACAAAGAAATTGTGAAAATAAATATGCGTATGCCAATCAAGTACATCTCGCGAAATTCCTGCCCAAGTAATTATCACTTATCGACCATCTCGTAAAGCATTCCCACAAACTAAACTTGGAGTTAAAACCGGCAATAGCGACATTTAACCTCTGTAGATCTCTCCAATTTTGCGGCTGTCATACTTCTGTTATAAATTAAAACCTCTGTGTATGTTTCTGAGAAAGCGCGGTTTTTTTAGTTGTTAGAGTACCGCCCGATCGGTATCTTAATGACTTCATGCACATGTGCCAGATTGAAGCCGTGCTTTGGCACGCCCAACAATGGTCATGGTTCAACACTCGCAGTTAATAATCTTTTACCCGTAGAAAAATTTATAGTAGAAAAGTTGTACCAACAGCCGGCGGGTGGTGTAAGATTTATTCCACCAAAGGGGGGTTTGATTTGAATAGATGGCTTGTAAGAGTCTACTTAAATTGTCTCGTTCGTTGCACAAAAAGAAATTTTATTGTACTGTTGTAATGTGAAAATTTTTGAAGCAACGCAGAAAAGTATAAATACTCAAATGTTTTTCAATTACTCTTATTAAATTTTTTCGTTGTAATGGTACCCTAAATTTTTCATGCATGTTCCTACAAGCTACATTAGGTTTAAACTATTATTGCATTTTCTCAATTACTATGAATGGAATTTTGTAATTTGATCCGGTAAATTATATTTGACAAATCAAATATTAATCACTCTCATGAAGAGTAATTGCATTGAATTCGATAAATTAACAATATTGCTTTATTGTTTGGCATGTTTGAGCTTTAATGCAACTATAATCAATTCATAATGTCCAAGATCATACATATAACAGTGACTGAAATTAATTATTAGAAGAAAATATTTTATTAATTTCGTAGTTGCATTCGAATTTTGAAATTTTAAAATTTATCGTAACTATCTAACGATGATTAGAGTTTATAATCAAATTCCAGAAATATCCTGCAATCAACCAAACATATATCACCTGTTAACAGTTCTTTTTTGACCTCAACAACAAAATTAACATACCTTCGCCCATTGGTTTAAAGTTTGCGTGTTTGTTATAATCGTTTTGTCAGTGTGTAAAATGAAATATTAAATATTTCAACACGGCCTATCAGCCAGAATGTATAAATATTTATTGAAATTCCCATACCAGGTGTGGAAACTAGAAGTAATTGAAGTACTTCTATTAATTATTTAAAAATTTACATATAAATCTTATCTTTTGTTGGATATCTCAGCCATCCGCCTACAAAGCGGGTTCTCGTTTTGGGAAAGGCGTCGTTCGTTATTTACAGTACGTTTTATTATCGGCATCCGTATTTAGAAAAACCCGATAAGTTGTATCGCAACGAGCGTATAAATAATTTATAGTAATGTCGCAAGGTGCAGGACAACTTACGAGTACGACCATTTTTAGTTCGTCGTACTTACAGCTAAACGTTCCTTTCGATAAAAAAAATTATTACCTACTTGCGGACGAGTTTTCTTCGGATCGTTGAAAAATATTACACATACAAGCCATGCCGATCTCTTCCTTTTTAAACGGTTGACAGGTGCATAATTGAAAGAGTTAAATTGGTACTATCAACCGTGTAAAATTCATTGGGCGATGATATGGTCAATGCGCTATCGATAACCAAATTGCCCGCATACAACCTACTAAATAGAAATCAATATGCCAGTTATTAATAAAGACCTAATTAATAATTTCCGCAATCGAATAGCACCGTAATATGTATACTTGCATTATAATTACTTATTAATAAATTAACAACCGAGGCCTCGCATCAAATATGCAACAGACAATAGATAATAACAAGACCGTCACCGTTCAACTCAAGATTGTACATGTCAAATGAACCTCCATTGTCACTCCACCTTTATTCGCGGAGGAAATAGTCATAATTGAAATTCGAAACTATAACTATGCTGCCGTTAACGTTACACACAGTCTTGGTTTAAATTATGCATCTATTTGTATGCACCCGGGATTGTATCAGGTGGAAAATTCTACTTGATCAACTAGCGTCAACGTTGCTCATTAAGAAAATTAATTCGATTCTGTTGCGATGCTCTGTAAAGCTTTGGGAATAGACGTGTAAGTAGGTGGGAAATAATAGGATAGGCAGTAAAGAAGATAAAACAAAATAAGGCATATGAAATCCTATCATATCTTGTTGAAAAGATAAAGTTATAGAAAGAATTTAGGGATAATTGAAAAGTTAACGTTATTATGAAATATGAACAAAAAATAACCACCCATCTGTCAAGCATTAATTATAAAATATCTTTCAATAGAGATACTTTAACCGTAACTGAAGGCTTGATTTCGAGAACTGTCATTTAGTTATCAGTAAAAACCAAAACAGAACCGACGACTGTCTGAAGGGCACTTATCTATCTTCAATGGGATCGACTTCCAAAAACCACTACCTGAAAACTACCTTTCGGTACTACCATGAAATTCCATTAAAATACCATCCATCAATTTTCGAACGTCAACCATATGGTTGAAAATCGATTTGACGCGCTGTTAACGAGCTGGCTTAAAACAAAAGAGCTCGTTAATTTCTGTGAATTTTCGTTCGGTTTTTTAATGTATTTCCGCACTTTTAGATCATTCAAATAAAAATACAATTGACTACAAGACCTCCAATTCGCCGCCATGTAGCAGTCCCTCCAAGGATATCAAAAATCCCGAACGATGTAATATACCTTATGGAGGACACGTAAGTTATTATTAATTGTATTTTGATGCTTTCGATATGAAAATGTTTTTTTTTTCTGGATATGTTAACCTGCTGAATGTTTTGTATTTTCCAGAGACCTGTGCTACCCGTCCGAAACAACTTGGGAAGGCCGAATTCGTCGCATTTTCCACAAGCCAGTCGATTTCATTTTAGGAAAGGTTTGGCCTCGAGATGTACATGGAAATGCACAGCATTAGTTTTTATCATATTGACTGTCCTCTTTGCGGCGGGATTTATTTACCTTTTAGGTAAGTTCTTTTTCGGTTCTTTTTTCTTTTTTAAATTTCCTTATGTTTAATTTCCATTTTTATCTCCTGTTTTTTATTTGCGACCAAAATTTGCCCTTACGGACATAAATCTCCTTCATCTGACACAGCAAATCGATATACTGTAGCCTGAAATATTTCGAGGCCCATAAATTTTTTACTGTATCGCCTTTCCGGACGTTTTACTGATTTCGACAAAGGACGTAAAAAAACCAAACTACCAACTTTTCAACAATATTAAAAATAAAGCCAGACTTGTCTTCGATTTCATTCATATTTTTTTCGATCTATTGTAAATTATATTTTGAATTTATAACCGCCACATTGTATGCACAAAAAAACTTGAATTAGCGACCATCTTGAAGTCATTGTGCATCTGACAATACGTCTCTAAAAAAATATTTCGGTATCATTCAGGACGTCATGGCGGGGTTCCTTTTTAACCCTGCAAATCAGATTTTCAATTATCCTCCACCCGAGCGTCCTTAATGCCTGCCGTACCCCTCTCACAATGGCATTTTACCTGGAGACCTAGTCGAGACCTGGCGACGGACGTCAATAGCGTCGGTAGACAGAAAGATGCAGATCCTCCGCTAATGGCGCTCCACGTCAACCATTTGTATATTTCTTGCTTTCATAAAACCCATTCATTCTGCTCGCCCGAGCGGCATTTATTAAACTTTTCTTCTCGATATTTAAATTGGCAAAAGGACTCGTGTATATAGCTAACTTATATGCATGAATTTGCAGTCTAATAAAACAGGGAGCTCATGGTGTTGTTAAGCAACAGCTATCCCCTCTGTAGAACATCCAATGCAACTATACCTAATTGTATCTTATTCTACAATCATTATCTACATTTTATCGTCGGTGTTATTCTTTGTTCTGATATCTCTATCAGCGTGCTTCTAACTGGGAAGATTGATTGAAGTAAATTTCGTTGTGTTCCAGTTTCTAGTTTACCAAATTGGTCATATCAGAATTCGAAACCCTGCGAGGTGTTCGTGGGGGAAAATACTCAAGTAATACCGTCTTCGAAAACGGCTGTCGCATCCGAAACGAATCTCTCGACGTCGACCCGGCCGAAAGCTTCCAGCACGGGAGGTAAATACGTAGAGCTAGCGCGTTCGAGGAAACGCAGAAATGTTTTAGATCCACCGCATGTTGTGTTAGATACTGATGCTACGAGCAGTTCGAGTAGTGGTAGTGTGGCTAGTGCGGATTTGCATGATGGTACTAGCACGTCTTTGCATGATTATAGTTCTTCAATTTCATCGGTCAGCACTGATTCGACTACTGGTGATTTTGCTTCTTCTATTACGTCTTTCGTTAGTACCACGGAATCTACTTCTGATGAGGTTTATTCTACTGTAACGACTGAAGTTGATTCTTCGGCTACAATTGAAGATGTTTCTTCTACGATGACGATGATCAAAGAAACTACTACTGAGTCGATTACTGAAGAGAGTTTGAATTACGATCTAATGGCAAGTAACGAAGAAGACGATGCTTCTTTATTTAAACTCGATTCAGGAGAATACGAAGATTTTATAAAAGATCAACCGAACGACGAAGACGATTTAGAAATTGTCAAATTAGATAACAAAATATTATCAACAACGCAAAAAACCAAATCAGCCTATTTGATCAACGACACAAGTACTAATCAAAATATAGAAAAAATCAAATCCGGAGATAGTTCCAAAGAACTTACAGACGCCAATTTATCAACATCTCCTATAATCGACGATAAGAACCTAAAGCAAATACGTTTTAACGACGACACTACTTTATACAATAACTTTACTAACCAAAAAGTAAGTCTTGATACTAACAAAACTATTGTTAATATTGTGGAGTTTCCTAAAAGCTTGTCGAATTCGAAAAAAGTGTTTGTTAACGTAACCATAGCTACTGATGATACTAACAATCCGTATTCGGAACAATCTGTGTATGTGCTTTCGGTAGCAGTGCCTATTCAGGACAAAGTACCTTCAATCGAAATAAACCAAAAACAACCTAAGGAGAGCTTCAACAACTCTGACAAAGCTGCTTTACATCAAGTCTTAGAATCCGATAAAGACAATTCAGGCGGGACCTGCGAATGTTCTTGCCCGACTTTAGATTCCACTGAACTTTCAGATAATACTTCGGAAGATTTAGACGACAATGTCTTTATTCAACCTATAAATATCTCCACAACACCGCCTAGTACTTCCACTGACATGTCTTCAACTTCGGAAAGTTGGGTGACCAATTGTCCCGAAGTTACAACAAAGCTGCCTCCACCGCCTACGATACTCATTTTAGAAGGTAGGAGTCAGGCGTAGGTAGCTTAGCAAATAACAACCGGGCTAAGCGTTATGAATGAATAACAAAATATTTTATCACTTATAAAAGTTTAACGACTATTCGGTATAATTGTTGAGTTACGGCGCAGGTTTATGAGGTGTAACTTCTGATATCATTTCGAACGTAAACTTTTATGGTAAATATATAAAAGGTTTCGGAATTTCGCCTATCGTTTCCCAGAAATTCGCAATTTGAAATTATTGCTCGTATTTATATTGAAATTATTATCCGCCTAGTAGATACTTAACCTTTTAAAATTACGAGCTATGGAAGTTACATGTCTACAGCGCGTATTATAGGATACGTAAGAAACATTTTTATTAGTCGAAATTAAAATTTTTATAGACTATATTTATACCTACATTGCAAGAACATTCTGCAATGTAATTATTAATTCATTAGAGGAAAATTTAATATATTTTGTATGTGTCGTTATGGAATGCTATCTAACCTGTTAATTCGAAAGGGGTGAATATTTTAATATATTAAATTGTAATTGAAATTCAAACTATCCGCAATTCCTTTCTATTAATCAGTGAATCAATTCGTTAATCGTTTTTAGCTAAAACAAGAATTGGTTACTCGTACACAATCCTAAATTTTCTCAAATTTAAAATATTCCCTCGTTTATTGCATGCCTCTGCGACCTACTAACACTAACAGGAATCCAATTGTTTATTGAATTAGTATTGCACGCTGTTATTGCCAACCCGTTGCAGCGATTGCATCCAATGGCTTTCTGTGTCTAGCTTGTAAATTTCCAGCTGATCTCTTTTGTATATACAAATTTATTTGTGTTTATCTTGTAATTCTGTAGCGAGTTTACCAAATTGGTTGCCGAGATAAATTCCGGTTTGTTTAAGCATAAAAACGCCAGATTTTTATTTCTATTGCAAATTTATCGCAATGTTTGTTCATAGTCCACCGAGTAATCCTTCTGCAAATAGATGATTGTAGGTCCTATCGATAATGATTCAATCTCGAACGCTACGTTACTTCTAATCCAGCTCGCTTAATTAAATCAACTTTAATCGTAAAAATGCAATTCGTATTAATTCTCCTTCTCTTCTCTTCCCTTCGTTCGTTACTTTAGGTGCTCGCACGTTCCCAGCTCAATCGTTTCCGCCAGACGGAACGACCTTCTCCCAAATATCCTTGGGCCAACGACTGTCCAAGGAAATACCCGCTTACGGTTACTGGAACATGCAATTTTACCAATCCGAGGCCGCCTACGTGCAATTCGACTACAGCATCCCCAGGGGAGCCAGTATCGGAGTGTACGCGAGAAGGAACGCCTTACCGACGCACACGCAGTACCACATCTTGGAGGTTCTCAGCGGATTTAAAGCTAGAACTACCAGGGCCTCACATGTAAGTGTTTCAATCGGCTCCACGTTTACGATTTTATCGAAAACAACAACGTTTTTAACAGCAATCGACGGTCAAGAAGGAAGTAACGCATTACATGGAACAGGGCCATTGGTTTTTGTCTTTGTACAACGACGACGGCGATCCGCAAGAAGTCACGTTCGTGGCAGTGGTTGCAGACGACATGACTCACAACTGTCCGAACGGTTGCAGCGGCAAAGGGGAATGCTTGATGGGCCATTGCCAATGCAATCCCGGATTCGGCGGCGACGATTGCAGCGAAAGTAAGTACGATGCAAACACCGGCACCTCATGCACTTCACTAATATCTCTATGCATCTCCATGCATGCCTCACGAATGTCTTTTCTGCATCCAGGTGTATGTCCGGTGCTGTGCAGCCAACGCGGCGAGTACATTAACGGAGAATGCCAGTGTAATCCCGGATGGAAAGGCAAGGAATGTCAACTAAGGCATGACGAATGCGAAGTGCCTGATTGCAACGGGCACGGCCATTGCGCTAACGGTAAATGCAATTGCATCAGGGGATACAAAGGAAAATTCTGCGAAGAAGGTGAGATGTTTACGAGAGCTTCAGCTAATAACTAATGCTTAATGACTAATAACATTAATTAATTACTGGGCTGAATTTGGATGTTAATGATTTGCTTCGTTCACACCAGGCGATTGTCCGCATCCGACGTGCTCGTCGCACGGTTACTGCGTCGAAGGTACCTGCATTTGCAAGAAGGGCTGGAAGGGAGCCGACTGTTCCCAAATGGACAAAGACGCTTTGCAATGCCTTCCAGACTGCTCCGGACACGGGACATTCGACCTGGAATCCCAGACGTGCACCTGCGAACCGCGCTGGTCAGGCGACGATTGCTCTCGAGGTACTATTAACCACCAAATGAACAAAAACAGGTTTACTAACTCGCTACGTTCGTTCAGAATTGTGCGATTTGGACTGCGGCCGGCACGGCCACTGCGTCAACGAGGCCTGCCAATGCGATCCGGGCTGGTCGGGCGAGTACTGCAATCTGAAGCAGTGCGACCAGCGCTGCAACGATCACGGGCAATGCAAAAACGGTACTTGTCTGTGCGTGACCGGCTGGAACGGGAAGCACTGCACCATCGAAGGTTGTCCCAACAGCTGCTCCGGCCACGGGCAGTGCAGGGTAGGCAGCGAGGGAAGCTGGGAGTGCCGGTGCGACAACGGCTTCGACGGCGCCGATTGCAACATTTTGCTCGAACAGAGCTGCAACGATGGAAGGGACAACGATAAAGGTGAGATACGAGTAGATATTTACAGGATGCCTGGTGCAGCAATTCGTTGATCTCAACGTGCACTTGAGGTCTTTAAAACTATCGCTGGTATTTTAATGTTTGCATCTGGTATCGCTATACTTTAAAGTGCGTGCTTTAGAGTTAAATAATTTTTGGATTGCAGACGGTTTGGTGGACTGCGAGGATCCGGAATGTTGCATGAACGCGGCATGCAAGAACAGTCAACTCTGCGTGTCCTCGCCGAAACCGATAGATATTTTATTGCGAAAGCAACCGCCCGCAATAACGGCGTCGTTTTTTGAAAGAATGAAATTCTTAATAGACGAGGGAAGTTTGCAGAACTACGCGCGTCAGGAGTCCTTTAACGAAAGGTGAGTAGATCCAATTCGTTTCTTATTTTTATTTTATTACGATCATAAAAATATTTGTGTTTGTGTCAGCAGAATTGATGCTAGTAAATAGTATTTGATTTTATTCGTATATGTGCTGAATAAAATTTTACACTATTCAGAGTTGACAATGGAAGTCAAGATAAATCAATTGTGCTGATGGTAAATTTATATATGTTATTTGTTTAAATATTTATAGCTGCTTTGTTGTGCCCCAGTTCAAACACTCCCTTTTGTGTAATTTTTTCTTCGATCTATCACTTTACATGAATGGTGACTTGCTTGTTTAACCTCTTTTTCTATATGTTATAATTGCTCTAGATAAAAAAAATATGAAATTTTAACACGGAAATTTTCGTTTAAAAATATAGTTAAATTGCGGGAAAACATTGTAGCTCATAACAAGATTACTAATTTTAATTAATTCCACTTACCAATTTGGCTTTTTCTTTGATTCTTGCTGCTCAGTATGTTTTGGAGTAACTTCAATACGAGGTAAGGCTAGCGGCGATACTTGATTAACGATTAGTTAGATTTATTAGCTTTTTAGATACATAACAACCACTTTAATGTTGTTATTATTGATTTTTGCTTGTTTTTTGGTATGCTCTACTCCACTTGTGTTCGTGTATTTACGTTTGCTTAAACTTTATGTTAACAACCGATTTGTTTTGTTTTCGTTAAAAACAAAGCTCGTATTTGAATTCGACTAATTTCACTCAAATTTTAGCCGGTCGGCCGTTGTGCGGGGTCGCGTGCAAACCCCGATGGGAACGGGTCTGATGGGAGTACGCGTGAGCACCAGCTCGCCTCTCGAAGGCTTCACGCTGACGAGAGACGACGGCTGGTTCGATCTCCTGGTCAACGGCGGCGGAGCGGTCACCCTCCAATTCGGCAGATCCCCCTTCAGCCCGCAGAGTCGCATCGTCTACGTCCCTTGGAACGAAGTCGTGATCATCGAAAACGTGATCATGACCACCGGCGACGAGCGATCGGTCAGCTTGATCCCGCAACCGTGCACCACGCACGACTACGACACCATGAAGCCGGTGGTGCTGGCCACGTGGAAGCACGGATTCCAAGGCGCCTGTCCGGACAAAAGCGCCATCCTGGCCGAGTCCCAAGTGGTGCAAGAGAGCCTGCGAATTCCCGGCACCGGATTGAACTTGGTGTACCAAAGCTCCAGGGCCGCCGGTTATTTATCGACCATCCAATTGCAACTCACGCCCGAGGTCATTCCCGACGATTTGAAGCTCATTCATCTGAGAATTACGATCGAAGGAATACTGTTCGAGAAAGTGTTCGAAGCGGATCCGGTCATTAAGTTCACCTACGCTTGGAACAGACTGAACGTTTATAGGCAAAGAGTTTACGGCGTGACCAATGCAGTGGTGAAAGTCGGTTACGAGTACAGCAACTGCAAGGATATCATTTGGGATGTCCAAACGACGAAGCTGAGCGGACACGATATGAGTATTTCAGAAGTAGGAGGATGGAATTTGGATATACACCACAGATATAACTTCCATGAAGGTATTTATCCCTTACAATTGAAGTTACAGGAGTTTTAAATTGTTGGTTACCATTTCAGGTATTCTCCAAAAAGGTGATGGATCCAATATCTACCTTAAACACAAACCGCGCGTTATTCTTACTACTATGGGAGATGGACATCAAAGGCCTCTGGATTGTACTGATTGCGAAGGACAAGCTTCCAAACAACGCCTTTTGGCGCCAGTTGCATTAGCCAGTGCACCTGACGGTTCCCTGTTCATCGGCGACTTCAATTTAGTGCGAAAAATCCAAACCGATGGAATGGTTCGAACGATAGTCAGATTAAAGTAAGTCCGAACCAATTTCGCGTATTCATCAATTAATAATTACTGTATTTCCAGCGCGACGCGAGTGTCGTACCGCTACCACATGTCGCTGAGCCCGTTAGACGGTACTCTGTACATCTCGGACCCCGAGTCTCACCAAATCATCAAAGTTCGCAGCACCGACGACCATTCCGATCCCGATCACAACTGGGAGACGGTCGTGGGTTCCGGGGAACGGTGCCTGCCGGGCGACGAGGCGCACTGCGGAGACGGCGCCCTCGCCAGGGACGCCAAACTGGCCTATCCGAAGGGCGTAGCCGTTTCGAACGACAACGTGCTCTATTTCGCCGACGGTACCAACATCAGAATGGTGGACAGAGACGGCATCGTTACGACGGTGATAGGCAACCACATGCACAAGTCCCACTGGAAACCGTTGCCTTGCGAAGGCACTTTGAATTTGGAGGAGGTGCATCTGAGATGGCCCACCGAGTTGTCGATAAATCCGCTCGATAACACCCTTCACATCATCGACGACCACATGATCCTCCAGCTGACGTTGGACGGTAGAGTGAAGGTTATAGCCGGCAGGCCTCTTCATTGCGCTTCGCCGGTGACCGGGTACGATATCGAACTCGCCACCCACGCGACTCTGGTGATGCCCCAAAGCATAGCCTTCAGCTCGTCCGGCGACCTCTACGTGGCCGAAAGCGATTCTCAGCGAATCAACAGAGTCAGGGTGATCGGAACCGACGGTAAAATATCCCCCTACGCCGGCGCCGAGTCGAAGTGCAATTGCTTAGAGAGAGGCTGCGATTGCTTCGAAGCCGATCACTTCCTAGCGGCGAACGCTAAATTTAACACCATTTCATCGGTAACGGTTACACCTGATGGACACGTACATATCGGAGATCAAGCGAACTATAGGATACGATCTGTGATGGCCAGCATCCCCGACGCCAGTGCTACCAGAGAATACGAGATTTACTCGCCGGAAACTCAAGAGATTTACATATTTAACAGATTCGGGCAACACGTCGCTACTAAGAACATCCTGACCGGAGAGTCCAGTTACGTATTCACCTATAACGTTAACACCAGCAATGGGAAATTGAGTACCGTTACGGACGCCGCGGGAAATAAAGTGTTCCTGCTCAGAGATTATTCTAGTCAAGTCAACTCGATAGAAAACACGAAAGGCCAAAAATGCCGCTTGCGAATGTCGAGGATGAGATTGTTGCACGAGCTGAGCACGCCGGATAATTACAACGTTACTTTCGACTACCACGGCCCCACCGGGTTATTAAAAACCAAATTAGACAGCAGCGGTAGAAGTTACGTGTACAATTACGACGAATTCGGCCGATTGGTATCGGCGGTGACGCCAACCGGAAAAATAATCAGCCTCTCATTCGATCTCAGCCTGAAAGGAGCCACCGTAAAAGTCAGCCAGAACAACAACCCTCCCGTTTCGATGCTGATAAAAGGCTCCACGGTCTCAACCAAAGTCGATCAAGTGGAAAACAGAATCATCCTGCTACCGGACGGTAGCGTCACCAGCATGTCATCCTGGGCCCACAGCATCTCCACCGAAACCGTTCCTTATAATATTTTGGCCGACAAGGACCCCATACTGGGCGAGAGTTACCCCGTTCCGGCGAAGCAACGCATGGAAATCGGCGGCGACCTGGCCAACAGATTCGAATGGCGGTATTTCGTACGGCCCAACTCGAACTCCAAAGCCAACAAGAACCTCTCGCCGAGGATCCTGACGAAGGTCGGCAAGAAGCTGCGCGTGAACGGGGAGAATCTTCTAACGATGGAGTACGATCGAGAGACCGCCTCCGTGTCCGTTTTCATGGACGACAAGGTGGAGTTGTTGAACGTCACCTACGATCGATCGGCCCGACCGGTCAAACTGGGACCCAGGAACGGCATATTCGCCGAAGTGGAACTGGAATACGACAGGTTCAGCAGGTTGACGAGATGGAAATGGGGCGATTTGAGCGAGAATTACGGATTCGACAGGGCCGGGAGATTGAACGAGATTAAATACGGCGATGGATCGTCGTTGGTGTACGCTTTCAAGGATATGTTTAGTAGTCTGGTAAGTTACAATACCTACTTTTATATTATAATGTAAAAAAAAAATTTTCTCTGTGTATCACCAAATTTAAATCGAGTGAATCTGTTTGTAAATAAATTGTAAATTTCCAGCCTCTCAAAGTCAGCACTCCCAGAGGATCGGATTATCTTCTCCAATACGACGATTCCGGCGCTCTGCAATCTCTCACGACGCCTCGAGGCCACATACACACGTTCACCTTGCAAACTTCGCTGGGTTTCTTCAAATACCAGTACTTCTCGCCGATGAACCGCCATCCTTACGAGATCATTTACAACGACAACGGGCAGATTTTAGGGAAGATCTTCCCTCACCAGTCCGGCAGGGTATCGTACGTGTACGACAACGCCGGTAGACTGGAAACCACTTTAGCCGGAATGAGCTCTACCCACTACGTCTACCACGATCTTCTGGATCTCGTCAAGAGCGTAGAAATCATCGAACCCAACTTCGAACTGAAACAGGAATACAAATACCACGCGGGCATACTCAAAGACGAAAAAATTAAATTCAACAGCAAAAGCGGCTTGGATAACGCCCATTACAAATACCAGTACGACGGCAACGCCAGATTATCCACCATCGATGTCGACGTCAACGGCAAAGAATTGCCGCAGTTGAGATTGAAATACAACCAAAACCTCGGCATTCTCGAAGGCATCAGCGATCTCAGAGTCTACAGAAACACCTTCAACAGATCCGTAATGCAAGACACCACTAAACAATTCTTCACGATAACAGACTTCGACGACCGCGGTCGCATCAAAACCATTCTGATCAACATCAAATCGTTCGACGTGTTCCGATTGGAGCTCGAATACGACGCGCGGAACCGCATTAAAATGCAGAAACTGATGGTGGGCCGGTCCCAATTCATGGACAGGTTCTCGTACAATTCCGACGGGCACGTGCTCGAGGTCATCGGCAGCAGCAACTGGAAGTACGTGTACGACGAAAACGGCAACATAATCGGCGTGATCAAGGAGAAGGACAAGATATCGCTGGGCTACGACAGCGGCGATAGGGTCGTGCAATACGGCGACGTGGAGTTCTACAGTTACGATACCAGGGGCTTCGTGGTGCGCAGGGGCGAGCAGAAGTACAGGTACAACTCGAAAGGGCAATTGATACACGTGTTCGAGCGAGACAAGCTGCAAATTTGGTACTACTACGACGATAAGGATAGGTTGATTTCGTGGAACGACGATAAAGGAAACGTCACGCAATACCTGTACACGAATCCCAGCACGCCGGATCTTCTGACGCACGTGCATTTCCCGAAAACGGGGAGAACGTTTAGGTTCCTCTACGATTCCAGAAACGTTATTATTACCGTCGAGACATCGGAACAAAGGTTTTACGTAGCGTCGGATCAGAACGGCTCGCCCATTGCTCTGTTCGACATCAACGGCAATCTGATCAAAGAAATCAGAAGGACGCCGTTCGGTAACATCATACTCGACACCAATCCAGATTTCTACCTGCCGGTAGACTTCCACGGCGGCATTCTGGATCCCAACACCAAAATGGTCTTCATCAACAAGAGAATCTACGATCCGGTCGTCGGCCAGTGGATGACGCCGGCCTGGGAACGTCTAGCAATGAAATTGTCCATTCCCACCGACGTATTCATATACAGATTCCACAACAACGATCCCGTCAATGCGAAGCTCACGTTGGACTACATGACGAGCTTCGACAGCTGGTTGAGGCTGTACGGTTACGATGTAGAGAAAATGCTGGGCTCCAAATACATCACTAGCTTAATATACAGGCCTAAGGCTCTGTTGACTGCTCCCCAACTGGCGCCTAGTTTTGGAATTATGAGTGGACTTCAATGTATTGTAGATAAGGTAAGATTCTGTTTCATTATTGTGGGATTTACTTGATTCTCTGCCGATTCAGTGGATTTGTCATCATTATTCAGACCATTCTCGTCCACTTCTTGACATTCATAGGCCTCCTCCAACACCGTTTTGAGTGCTAACTTTTTAAATATTAACAATTCGGTTTTCATTTTCAGATTAACGAGAAATTCATGGATCTGAGTTTCGTTCCGAAGCCGCTGCTTAAGATGGAACCGAAAACGAAGAACCTGCTGCCTCGCGTCGCCTACAGGCGCTCGGTGTTCGGCGAGGGCATCCTGATATCGCGCGTGGGAACGCGGGCGCTGGTCAGCGTCGTCGAAGGCGTCAACGGCGTCGTCCAGGACGTGGTGACCTCGGTGTTCAACAATTCGTACTTTTTGAACTTGCAGTTTAGCATTCACGATCAGGACGTGTTCTATTTCGTTAAAGACAATGTACTTAAGATTCGCGACGATTTGGAGGAGCTGCGCCGGCTCGGCGGCATGTTCAACGTGTCGACGCACGAGATAACCGAGCACGGTTCGACGACTACCATTAAAGAATTGCGATTGCACAATCCCGATGCAGTAGTTATTATCAAATACGGCGCCGATCCTGACGTGGAAACGCACAAGATACTCAGGCACGCGCACAAAAGGGCTGTGGAGAGGGCCTGGGAAATCGAGAAGCAACTGGTAGCTGCCGGTTTCCAAGGTAGAGGCGATTGGACTGAAGAGGAGAAAGAGGAATTGATATCTCACGGTGACGTCGACGGTTACGAAGGAATCGATATACATAATATTCATAAATATCCGCAATTGGCTGACGATCCAGGAAATGTCGCATTCCAAAGAGATACAAAGCGCAAAAGACGAAAGAGCGGTGTCAGAAGAAGTAGGATCCACAGACATTCGTGATTAAGTAATAAAAATGGTGATATTAAGTTAAAAAGATATTAACATCAAGAATATTTTTATGTGCCATACTCCTGTTGACACCATAAATCAAACTAGTCGTTTTTCTTTCAGTCAATAAATAGAGACGTATATTTTAAATGACAAAAAAATCGCGACGTCTATTCGGAGAATTTCTCTTTTTCAAGAACTGAAAATACCCAAGAAGGAGCTAATGAAAACGCTTTTTTCATATAATATTTGTTTCGCGTATAAAAACAGAAATTTCAAATAGCACCATCAGGTTTTTGCATGAATAGCATTTTCCTTTATTGAACAAGAAATATTCTATGCATTCAAATAATGAAAAATGGAAAAAAATTAAGAGTCTGTCCAATGAAAGTTGTTTTTTAACTGTGTTGTGTAAAAACAATCAAAAATAGGCCTACTAATTAAACGAACGATGAGTTTGTCCTACAGGGTAGTTCACTTTACTCTAGAGGATTGAAAAAAAATATTGATATTACAAGACTCTCTGGATATAGTTTAATATATTTAAAGTAAAAACCTGTAAATATATCAGAAGCTTTTTATATGAAAAATAATAGTGAATTGCTATGAGAAGTAATGATTAGAATTTTTATGCTGCAGATTCTTATGACTGTTTTCATAAAAGAAAATTTCGTTAGCAACCAAATACACGAATTTAATTCAACAAATAAAATGATTGCAAAAAATATGATTTTCAAAAGGAACCCAGTTAATGGTTAATAACGAATTTATCTTAAGTAAAAACATCAGGAACATGTAGCAATCGACTGAAATATTAATCCATTTCTTATTGATTATAGATACATATATTAAAACATAGTCCATAGATGTATATTGCATTCATTTTCAGTTGGTATCGTTTAAAGTTTCTCATTCTATTGGTGCTTATTCCCTAAATATGTTAGATTTTTCTCAAAAATAGCCTGTCGACATATTCCATATTTATGGGCAATGTTATCATTAGAATAGCGTACTATGTAATGGGAGTGGATTTGGAAAATTATTTTTCTAAATTCTAAACCAACCCCACTTGAAAGTTTTTTTATCTGATTAGAAAATTTTTTAAATCAAATTGTAATTTAAATTAAGTCGGGCATTTTTCCAAAATTGCATTTTTTAATATCGGATGATTCACAATTTATGTATAAACATATTTTCTATACCTTATAATTATTTATTAGATAAATTTTTGCTGGTATTTTTTGGAAAAATGCTGTCAATATTAGTTAGTGTAATAGCTGAAATATTCAATGTGTTTTTAGGGTACGGCTGTTGTAATGATAAAATAACTCTTTCTCTATTCATACGAAAGTGTAATCTCGATAATTAATACTCCTATTAATTTTAATTTATGTTCATTTGGAACGAAACGTGGACGTTCTCGGCGCTAAAGTTAGCGGAAATATGGAAAAGTGATATTTTTTCTAATGTGACTAAAAAAGAAAGCAATACTTTTTATCTGAAAATATCTTTATTACTAAATTATTGAATTATGTGCAATTGTTGTGTAGCTGTCGAAGAGGCAGCAGCACGCGTAATGCATTTGAACATACTGACCATATTATTCGTAAAATATTAATATTTTATGTATGTATATATAAATTTATTGTGTATATTGTTTTTATATGTAAATATATTATGTTTTATTCAGTAATATAATCGTTTATTAAAAGTGTTTGTTAAAAATTATTTATATAAAATAAAATAATTCATACCTGTGGTTTTCAAACAATACATGTATGGTATCCAAGAGTTTCCTAAATTTGTTTTAATATTAGTTCCTCATTTTATTATTAGATGGCGCCACGAGTTTTGCAACACACAGAACATACATAAAGAAAATACATGCAACACACATTACAAAATGTTCCGTGTTACAAATTGTAAATACAGATTTTGGTTACCGGAGCGGATGGGCAAAATTTTATTTCTTCTTCACGAGAAACTCTCGAAGCTTCTGGTCTCGCTTCTTTCCATCCAGATTTCTTCTTCCCTTTTTTTTTCTCCCGTGTAGAAACACCGAACACAAAATAAGTAAGTTGGCTAACCTGATTACGATTTTACGTCATTAGTCGTTACTGTCAGTTGTCAATGTCAGTTGAGTTTCCTTTTTCCTGCAGCGTTTGACAGCGACAGGTTAGTAAATTTATAAAATTGTTTTAATAAAATTTCCAAAATATATTGCAATTTAATAATTAATAAAGAGGATTTTTGGTATTATATACTTATGCTGTAAAATTGTACAATAAGAATATTTTCAAACCTTGTTTGTTGTCGTTACAAAAACACATGGTGTGCTCAGTATAACGTTGACTATTTTCTTCTAGATAAAATGCCGTCGGTGACATTAAAAGACGTCGACCAGCATAAATTCGTTAAGGCTTTCGCCTCATTCCTTAAGAAGTAAGTCAAATAATATCTCATTTTACCATTCCACTTTACACCTAACCTATATTTTAGGTCGGGCAAACTTCGTGTGCCGGAATGGGTTGACCTAGTAAAAACATCCGCCGGTAAAGAACTAGCCCCCTACGATCCTGACTGGTACTACATCAGATGTTCGGCCATCGCCAGACACATTTACATCCGTTCTCCAGTCGGTGTAGGTTCCGTTACCAAAATTTTCGGTCACCGTAAAAGGAACGGTACCAAGCCTTCCCACTTTTGCAGGTAAGCTAAACCCTACCCTCGTTACCGATAAACCTTAAACGTGTCCTTCCACTTTGCAGGTCTGCAGGCAGCATTGCCCGCAAAGCCCTTCAAAGTTTAGAGGCCGTCAAATTGATTGAGAAATCAGCAGACGGTGGAAGGAAACTTACCCAACAAGGTAGAAGAGACCTCGACAGGATAGCGGCGCAAGTTAAGGCTAAGGAACGTAAAGCTCTTAAGGCGTCCGCTGTTCTCGCTTTGTAAGTGTTTTAATTAAGATTTAATAAAAAATGAATTGGAAAGGTTCATGAGTTTTTATTGTGATTACCTATGGGTGAGGATTGGAAAGATTACTAGGTATAAAAAAAGTATGAGGATAATTTTTATAACCGACGAGGTTTTATAATTTATTGGTAAACATTGACCAGTTAATACTGTAAGTGCAAAATGACTAGATGCTGTTAAAACAATACAAATTAGTTTAAATAATCTCACGTTTTTAGTTAGTTTCGAGTGTTTGAAGAAGCAAACATATACTTAATTATAATTAACCAGGTAAATTTTTTTGATTATTTTTTTGAATATAATTAAATGATTTTTTAAAACAAATTACTTTATAATATATTGGTACTCTTTTTAAAACACTCGACTTTCTATTACCGATTGTCCAATCAACAATTGACACTAAAAGTTAAAACCACTCTAAAATTTAAGTGAGCAAAGAAATTATCTAAATCCAACATTAACGAAGTATTAAATAAATATGTCACGAACATGTTTGTGTGCTTAAAGTATGCTGTAATTAAATTATTAATTACTAAGTTATGCATTCTGGTGTAAAAATTTAGAAATTACTATTCAACAAGACAATCTATAAATTTCTGATAAACTACCTTCTAAATAAAAGGAAATTCATTTTATAATAATTACTACCTAAAAAAGTAAATTGGTTTTCGAAATAATTATTATTAAACGACCTTCAGATATACAGTTTGCAAAAAACGAAATACATATATGTAGGTAGTCCACTTGCAGTTATAAAACTACGAATAAATTAACAGTGTCATCAAGAGGTAAGATAGAATTATTTAAATTAGGTCCTTGTACAACCAAAAATTTACTAATTATCTTGTGAATGAGAATATTTCATTTTACGTACTTATAGAGCAATTGATAAAAAATGAGCGAATGAAATAATAAAATACTACAAAGTACTTGCATAAATTAAATTATACATTTCATATAATTTACTTAAACATAAAACTTTATACTTTGTTTTTTACTTTTTGCGGAACTAGATTAAACTAGTTTATAAGCAATATACAGGGTGTTCTCAAACGTACGGCACTAAATTCTAGGGGTGGTAGTTTGCACAATTTGAGAGTGATTCGCAGCTTTCATCTTTCAAAAAATTATAATAAACAAAATTTGAAATATTAAAAATATTTCAAAGAAATGCGGTCCTGTAACCTCTCGACCGCGCGATAGATCGCGTTAAAATCGACAAAATAATAATAATTTAATGGCCTCTTAATTTTTAGAATCATGGAAAAATTATAAATGTAAACCGGGGTTTTCAAACAATAGAAGAAAATAAACTTTAAACTCGAAAGGAATATTAGCTCACCTATTTTGTTGTTAAAAGCAGCTTCATTGTTCGAGAACATCACTACAACGAACAAGAACTAACTAAACTAAGAACAACACTAAGAACTAAAACAATCAAATAAATCACTAAAGTCTTATCACAAAAATCTCTTTAACCCCGACGTTATAATCAAAACAATATAATTTGCGCTAGAAAACGATCGGTATCGATAACGTTTTTCGAAAGCTGCCGGGCGGAGGGGGAAATTTGCGATCGCTGATAAATACACCGAATCTGTTTTTTGTGTTAAAATTCCGATCAACTGACTATTCAGGCCAGGGTTGTATTCGCTCTTTGCATCTATTTTGTTTATTATATTTTTTTAGAAAAATGAAATCTGCGAATCGCTCTCAAATTATACAAACTACCACCACTAAAATTTAGTGCCATAAGTTCTAGAACTCCCTGAATTCATTTAGAAGTGAATTAATCGATTAAAATATATTTTTAAAAAATAAAACTTTTTTATATTGGCACTATATTGTACTAACATGCTTGGCAGAAGTGCTTACTTATAGGTAAAAGTACCTACAGCAATACATATATTCGTAAACAGTTATTACCTAATCTTACAGAGTGTTTAGATAAAAAGACTAGTATTGAATTGAACTTTTTTCCTTACTAAAAAATTAGTCTTCTTTCGGTAAAACCGATAAATAATCAGTTAGGTAAAAAGGACAAGAGAAAAGATTCGAAAGACAGCCTTCTTGAAACAGCGAATTATCTCATCGCTGTTCGACTCCCAAAAAATTTATCACATCTATAAAAACATTCAGTCAGAACTTTTTAAGATTATACATGTATATAATATTAATTCAATAATAAGGCAAGGTAGGTAATATTTTTTCAAAAAACAGTCATAATTTATTTGATTATGGGTTTAGAGTTTGGGTGATAGTTGATAGTTAGTAAGTTGAAAGTATTTAGTAGAACTAATAAACTTTGCATTATTTCGGTAATAAGACATTCAAGTAGACGGGGGCAAATATTTTCTTCTACTATGACGTTTATATAAGTTTATAAAGTATTTTTCATCTTAAAGAAAAACACGCACTATCAAACTAAAAAAAAATGAGTCTATTCGATGAAGAACAAGATGTTTTGATCGTGCGCTAATTTCTTAAGAAGTAAATTTGAAATACAGTTGTGCAAGAAATTATCAATTGTGCCATTTGAACTACCAAAGAGCAAATGTAGAGTTGGTACTAGTTAAAAATCGGTAAACTATTAAAGTTAGTACCACCATGTAATTGCAGTATTGTGCACATCAAAAACCTATAAAGCTATTCAATTTTTAACAATATTTTTCATAAATTCTTATTAATAAAATTAACAGTTACTAAAGGGATTTATTGATCGTGAGCAATGATTTCAATATAAACTCGCTACTTGCAAAATAAAGTAGGTATATGAGAAAAAAATGGAAGAATATTTATTCTTATTGATATAACTTAGTAGGGCAAATGTTTGAAATTGGTTATCGCATATAAATAACTATTATAACAAAAAATAAATAAATATCTAGGAATTTATCCAGCTTGGAATTGTATTAAAAATAAATACGAGCCAAATGAATGATTTCTTAAATAATTGCTCTACTTCATAAATATGAGTTAATACAACGCTGTATGTGTACATACATTTGAGTACTATTTTTTTTTCTTGGAAGAAATATAACTCTTAGAAAAATTCAAATAAAAACCTGATAAATCAACAACTCTCCATTATTCTCTTATAAGACATTCCGTAAAAAAACCACGCGATCGCTAAAAAAACTCTACCCAAAGCGAAACACCTTCCGAAACCCAACTCAAGTAAAACAAACTCGCTCGATTGCACCAAATCCTTACTTAATCAGCCTCATCATGACTACCCGTTAATTCTCACAGCGTCGCCTGCGGAGGATTGGCCTCGTTGCCGCTCCCTCCATCCAGCCCGGTCTGCTTCAACCAATGCCTCAAGCTCCTGGTCCTCTCCACCAACGTGGTGGTCGCCCCTTGAGTAGCGTGCGTCACCACCGTACTTTGCGCGTTAGCCAGAGCCAGATGTTGCCTGTAATTGTGCAAACGATCCGCCAGAGTGGGTATAGACGGCGGAGCGGGCGCTACGCTCGCGGTCGCCGCCAAAACCGGCCAGCCCAAATCGGGATACACCAACGGCGGGATCACTGAAACGTTAAAAAACTTAAATAGAGTTAACGATGTTAATAAGTGTACCTTGCTGAACGTTCGAATGCTGGTGCTGTTGCCTCAGCACGTCCCAAATCTCCCTGATCTCCGAATTCAAACTCTCCAGGTTGTGTATGATCTCCGAACTCTCCTGAAATTTCTCCCTGTTGAGCAGGCCCTTCGCGAAGTCGCCCGTCGCGAATTCCGTGGACGAGATTCCCGAGCTGGCGCTGTGAGACGAGATGTCGCTCAACGTGGCGTCGTCGTGGTTTTGATCGTTTTGAACATTGGCCCGTTGCAGCGACTGCTCCAAGTGGCGCAGACGGATAACCTTTTCGCCCAAAAGACTGCGCGTCCGGTGCAAGTTCACCTCCATATCGGTCAGTTCTTTTTCTTCCTAAAAGAGGAAGTCCGATCTTGGATTAACAGGTCTTGGGTCTCCTAAAATCGGGTAAAACGTGCAATATATTCGCTAAAAAAAAATTCATCCTTTTGTACCTTCGGTACTGTAATTTAAACCCTGCATTTAAGTGCTCGAGTAGTTTTTATCGATCGCTATTACCTGGCATAATTGCTGCAAGGTGTGCCTGGCCATCGTCCCGTGCTTCAATTTCAACTCCTTCTGTCTCTGCTGGAACAGGCTCTTCTGGCTCCTCAGGCTCTCTTTGGCTCGCTTGATGGAATCGCGTTCCAGGTGGATGCGGTGTCGAAAGAATTCCAGTTCGGAGCTACCTTCGAATTTGTGAGCGTCCGAGAACGGATACCTCAGGTGATAGGTGTCGGCTTGCGCGTTGTCGGGAAACTGGTCTTCCAGATCCTCCAGCTTCTGGAGTTGCCTTCGAAGATTTTCCACGGGCGAACAGGATCGCTGGGCCTTGCGCGGTTTGGTGTTGTTGTTGATTCGCGACGTAGAAGAACTCTTTACCCTGCGGAAAGATGAAATTTTCATTTGGCTAATGGGATTTCGAATCAATGAGCTACCTGGAAAACATCTTTTTTCGGCTCCTTCCGGGATTAGTGTTGTCTGAGCTGTCGTTTTGGTTGGTTTTGTCGTCGCTGTGGTAGCAGTTGTCGCTTACGGATGTGTCCAGGTCTTGTATGACGACTTGTTTCACCATTTTGGCTTCTTTCTGCTTAGGTTCTTCGGAGTTTGAGGCGCGAGAGTGTTTCGGAGTAGGCGGTTTCTCCAAAATTATTCTAAAAAATACCGTTGAAAAATAAAAATCTCTACAATGGCTATCACAGATTACCTGTCTTTGTTGTTGGAATTGCTCTGTTCAGTCTCTGATCCAGTGGTGTTGGTCGCTATACTTTGTTCTTTTCTTCTATTTCGTTTTTCCATTGTTACTTTGACTTCGGTTTTTAACTTAAAATACTTTTCTTTCAAACATCTATATTTGTCTTCCAGTAGTCTTTTTTCGCAGCGTAATTTTTCGTATGATTTCTCGTCGGAGGAACTTCGGTTTTTTTCTTGGTCCGTATCAGTCTGAATTTTACTACGTATTTCAGCCATTTTGGATTGATGAGACTTCCGCAAAGCTTGCTCTTCGGAATCGAATTGTCTTTTTAACTCTTCGATTATGATGGAATGGTTCTCTTTTAATTGTTCGATATCGGCGTTGTGGTTCATCGTCAAATCATCCTTGGTCCTGTCCACTTTTTCAGCCAATTCTTTCTCAACTTCTGCCAATTTTTCATCGTAATACTTTTCTAATTCTTCCTTCTTATTGTCGAAATTCGCCTTGAGACTTTCTTCCTGTTTCTTGATGTCGGTTTCCAAAGCGGCTTTTAATATGTTCAATTTATCTTCCAATTTTGCTCGTTCTTCTTCCAGTTCCATTTGGTGCTTTATAATTATTTCGTCTTTGACGTTTTTCATTTCTTGTTTTACTAGTTGATCCTGCTTCGATTTTTCTTCGGCTAAAACTCTCTTCAGTTCCTGCTTGTGTGAGGTTTCCATGTCGGTTTTGAATTTGATAAACTCTTGGTTCTTTTCTTCCCATATTTTGTGCTTCATTTCTTCTACTTTCTTATCGGCTTTTTCTTCTAATTTTTTGGATTTCTCTTTGAAGTTTTCTCCCGAGGAGTCGGATTCGTCGGTGTTGTTAAACAATTCCCCGGGATTATCAACGCCTGCTTTTTCTAAACTGTGGGTTTCTTCATCGGAATCCGAACCTTTGTTTAAAGTTAACTTCGGTCTAATGAAATCTTTTTGCCGAAAAGGTTTAATATCTGGTTTGATTAATTTTAAGGGAGTGTTTTTTATTGGTTCCAGCACAGGTTGCACCGAAAACCTGCCCTTATTCGGCGTTAGTTTCACATTTATAATATCATCAACTTTGTTTCTATCGCTTTTAATTTCTTCTTCGCTAGAGCTTTTGTCGGAAAGAGTGACTGCTACGTCCGTATTATTGTCTAAATTAAATCTAACGCTCTTTTTATCATCGTCGTCCCTCTCTGATTTGTCCTGTTGAGGTATTTTGTCGAATTCCAGACTTTTTGAATGTTCCATCGTGTTTTTTTCACGTAGTATACTTCTTGGTGCGAGTAAATCTGTGAAACACGTTAAAATAAAAATGAAACTCAACAGTTATAGAAAATCTTTACCCTGAGAACTATCAGTCTTCATGCTAAGACTATTTAGAATAGTGTCGCTGTTTTTTCTAACGGTGTTTGATTTTAAGAACATGGACCCGCCACCTGCAACTTTTAACTCCATGTTTCTGGGGTGTCCAGAAAACGCGGAAAGCTCTTTCTCCGCATCGTCAAAACTGCTAAATCCTAGCGATAATTTCTTCGGGCCCAACGCAAAGTCTTCGGACTTCTGTTTCAACAGTTTCAAATCTTTCTTAGGGCTGGCATTCGGGCTTAATTTCAGAGGAGACAAGCGTATGTCCTTTTTCTTCGCTCCCAAAGCGGCTAAAATATGATTCGATTAGTTTATTAACAAGTGGGCTATTTTAATGTTTTTACCTAGAGGTAAAGGATCTAATTTTTTCCCTGCCACTACGTTAGAAACAGATTCATCCAAACTCAAAATATCATCCGCTATATAAGTAGCATCTTCTCTGTTGTCTTGTATGCTCAAAGATTGGCTTTCGTTGCGTGCCTTTTTTACGAGCCCCCTGTATATATCGTCTAGCGGATGCTCCCATTGCGTCTTCTTTGTTAAATTATTGTAATAGTAATAACACTTTCTCTTATCATCGTAACTACAAAATATGTAAATTAAATAATTAATTTTGTCTCTAAGTCTGTTGCAATTTGGAGTGATTTTTAGCTATTTGAACGAGGCGCTCTAACTTCTTGTAAAATTAATTCATTGGCCTTTTGCTGTAGTTGACATTGGGTTCAAATAGGAAATGTCAAAAAAAAACAAAATTGAGGTTAGGTTAAGTGGTGAATATTATGAAACAAAGAATGTCCAATGTGATTTTACTTTATAAAAACGAATTTTCAACTGGTAATCAATACAAATAAGAAAATTTGTGGTATTTAAGAAATAGTACATCGCTATGTAATTTATTTCAAAGCCCCTGCGTATCGTACATCATAGTATAGTCGTCAAAGTCAATACTCAATACCAGTAGAAGTAGAAAAGTAGGACATAGGTGTCAAGAAAAAAACTTTCAACTTTCACCGTAAAAATGAGTAGGTAAAAGAATGTTAGAGATGTCAAATCGTTTCTTAAAATATGTTTATATTTACGGAATACATAAATTATTATAAAGTATGTTTCTTATCGAATGTGTGACTTTTTAGCTAGCATGTTCGCGAGGGTATCTTTTTACCCAACGTTGGTGTACAATTTGTTCATGGAAAGAGTTTGTTCGAGGCAATGGTACAATCGAATAGACGATGTCGTTATTTTGGGCGCCCTGCCATTTCCCAGCATAGCCAAAGAACTTATCGAAAAAGAAAATGTTAAAGGTTCGTTAAATTACATCATAACAAACTGTTGAAATAATTCTGCTTGAAATTTCAGGCGTAATATCGATGAATGAAGATTACGAATTATTCGTAGCTAATAACGGTAAAGCATGGAATGCTCTAGGCGTCGAATTCCTCCAATTACCAACAACAGATATATTCGCGACGCCTTGTCAAAACAAACTAGAGGAAGGCGTCAACTTCATCAATAGATTCGTAACTGATAGAAAAGTAATAGATGGTAAATCCGAAAAATCCGTTTACGTGCATTGCAAAGCCGGTAGAACGAGAAGCGCCACTTTGGTCGGATGCTACCTAATACAAAGATACAAATGGACCCCAGAACGTGCAATTCAGCACATGAGAGAGCGAAGACCGCATATATTGATGCACAGCAAACAGTGGGAAGCATTAGAAATATTTTATGGAAATATAAACAGTATCGGATCTTCCGAATCCCAGTAGAAATTTAATGTGTTTACGTACCTATTTTGTTTGTAATTGTTAAAAAATAATAACAGTGATTATAACTTATTGATTAATTATATCATTACACCCATTTTTAATGTTCTCCTATTACCACTTAAATTGAATTGTTAATTCTGAATACGTATACTTGTATAAGTTAAATAGAATTTATAGACTAGACAAAAAAATAGCTTCGTACATCTAAATAGGCTCAAATCAGTGTCCTAATCAAATTCATTCTTCACAAAATTGTACTGAATTGCCTAAAAAAACAAGGCAGTTCAACATATAGGAGAAGATTATGTCAATGTCAAACGTGTCACTTGTTAACCTCAAATAACTATTAAAGCTCGCCGTGTGTTTAAACAATTTCTTACGAATTACAAATAAAACTAATATATAAACAACCTAATTTAACATTAGGGTAATGCTTCTTAGACTACTTAGAAACCAAACATTCATTCGTAGATTTTCATTAGCAGAAACGATAGAAGATAAGACTAAAGTTTTACCACAGATATTGCCGAAGATGGGAGATACGAAGGTGTTTAAGCGAAAGTACGATGGAAGATCGAAGAAACGACAGTGGGAAGACAGGCGAACGGATAAGGGTGCTGGCATTCGGGATCTCGAAGAACCCAAAAAGACGAAAGTCGAGGAAGATTTGGATTTAACAGCGGATAATAATAAAATTAAACGAAGGAAATTCTGTTTATTATTGGGATATTCGGGTACCGATTACTTCGGCATGCAGAGAAATCCGAACACGAAAACTATCGAAGAAGATCTACTGCACGCTCTTCACAAAGTTGATCTTATAGACGAGGACTGTTATAATCAAGTTCAAAATATGCAGTTTCAGAGGTCCTGCCGGACAGATAAAGGTATATAATCTGAATAAATAAGCTACTTTCAACTACTTATAAATTTATTTACAGGGGTATCTGCAATACGTCAAATAGTATCGTTAAAGCTAAAAGAAAATATAGATATAGCGAAAATAAACGAACAACTACCCGAAGTAATTAGAGTGTTCGGTTACAAAAGAGTGACCAAAGGATTCAATTCGAAAACCCAATGCGATGGTAGAACTTACATTTACCTAACACCCACTGTAGTTTTCGCCCCGCACGAGAAAGAAGTCTCGCAGAAGGATTTTCGATTAGACGATGAAACATTTACCAGGGTTAATAAATTACTCGAGAACTTTTTGGGTACAAAGAATTTCCACAATTACACGTCAAAGAAGAAACCAAACGATCCCAGTGCTCACAGGTATAATAATGCTTCATATAAAATTTAGTACACAAGGAATCAATTCTATTATTTACAGGTTTATGAAATCATTTGTAATGGAGAAACCGTTCGTTAACAATGGAGTGGAATTCGCCATATTAAAAGTGCACGGGCAAAGTTTTATGTTACACCAAATAAGGAAAATGATTGGTGGAATATTAGCGGTAGTTAGAGGATTGGCGACTGAAGATCTTTTACCTAATTCATTTAAATCGGAGAAAGTTGTTATACCAAGAGCGCCTGGCTTAGGATTGATGTTGGAATATGTACATTATGATAGGTAAAATTCAGCATTGAATTACACAATTAACATTTATAATTTATAAAAAATTGCAGATATAATCATCGATACGGCAGCGACGGTATCCACGAAGCAATAACGTGGGAGGAGTGTGAAGATCAAGTAAAGGAGTTTAAAGAAAAATACATATTTCCAACAATAATAGAAACCGAAATCAAGGAGGAGCCGATGATTTATTGGCTGCATAATAAATTAGCTAGACATGCGTATGATAAGGAAGAAAACGAAAGTGACAATGAAGGAGGCGATGATGAGGACGAGATCAAGGAAGATATAGTTAAAAATGAAGAAACTTGTAAAAGTAATGAAAATAAACAGGAAAATGTTTGAGTTTAGTGTTAGCGTTTTCACTGAAATTTTTATAATTCATGATACATTTTAGAACTCAATAAAATGCAGAATTTGTAAATTGAAAATATTTTTCAATTAAATCAGTATTTACCTACCTTTTAATTTATTTTTGCTAGAAATGAATGCTCTTATACAAATGTCTTAACTAATTCAATTTCAACAAAAATAAACTCAAATGATACATTAAAAATAGAAAAAAACTGAAATTGTAAGACACCAAATTGGAATGGAATATTTCTACTCATATTTTTAATAAGAAGTGTTAATATTAAACAATTTCTTACCAAGGTTTCCAACCAGGTGGCAGAGCTTTCATGAGCCCCTCAGCTGCAATAGGTAGAAGCTGGGGCTCCGAATCAGGATCAATGCCGATCTTCTGTGCATAGTCTTTTATTTCTAAAAGAACAATTTTTATATTGAACACCAAAATACGTAAATAATAAAAATCGCTCACTTTATATTAAAGTAAAACAAATAAGTGTAGCTCAAAGCATCCTAACGCAACCAAATATTTAATACAAACAAATAAAACAAACTGTTAAAAATAACAAAAGCTCTTATGTAATTTAAATTTATGTAAAACCTACACCGCAAAATAAAAAACAAACAAAACGAAAGCCTTTCTCCCCTATTTTGCCCTAGATTTTAAATTAAACCACCAACCTTCTTCCGAGGGGTGCGTGATCTCATCGAAAATTTCTTCGCAAATTATGGACATTATTTTTAGTGCGTTGCGGTGTATTTAGTTGTTGGTTGTTCTCGATATTTAATTAACTACATTTTGCGATTTTACAGCTGATTCGTCTCTTGACATTTGTAGAATGAATGAACGGAAGGGTTCTCGAATAATAATTCGGGGTAGATTGGGTAGAATACAAACAAGTGGGGGTTGGATAACCCGAAGTCATCTAGTGGGCAATAGAAATACTGTAGCGTACAAACGAACGTACCTAATGGCCTTTTACTAAGAATACATACAGTCTATTCAATTGTTATTAAAAAAGAAGTTTGTTTGTATCTGTCAATTCAAATATAATCAAACAATTTATCAGTAACATAGACAACATATCAGTATAATTTGTAAATATGCAATTTGCAACGTTTCGGCACAAAACATTTTTAATTGTTTTAGATTACTCTGTATCTCAATTGTACCAATTATCGAGTATTATTTAACATTACTTGGAAACCAGTCAGATAAAGTAAGTAGATAAATTAAAATTTTAATTGTGCATTGTCTTATCAGTATCCACAGGCCACAGTCCTATTTTATTTTTCAAGTAACTTTAAACACGAACTGATATTTTTTCAGATTCAATTTTATAATGAAACTCCTAATTATATTCTTAATTTGCATTCAAATCTCATTACCAATACCTTTAGTAGTGAACACCTGGAACTTCCAAAACGCAACTAAAGAAGGTAAACAAGTACACCCATTAATACAAACAGACACTTACATTTCAACGTAATTCCAGCTTGGAGAGTCTTATCCGAAGGCGAGGCTAATAAAAAAGATGTCAGCATCGAAGCTTTAGCTGCAGGCTGCAAAACATGCCAAGATGAGCAATGCGACACGACAGTTGGATACGGGGGATCCCCAGACGAGAACGGCGAAACTGCCTTAGATGCGATGATATTTGACGGGTAAAACTTGCTTTATTTCGAACAATTCCCCATAGAATTCGAATTGTCTCGCTTATTTTAGCGACACTATAAACATGGGAGCTGTAGGGAACCTTAGAAGGATAAAGGATGCCATAAATGTTGCGAAATATGTATTAGAGAACACCGAACATTCACTTCTAGCAGGAAATTTAGCAACGGATTTTGCGAAAAGCTTTGGGTTCTTGGAGGAATCTCTACAAACGAATTTTTCGTTGAACCAGTGGGAGAATTGGAAAGAAAACAATTGTCAGCCCAATTTTTGGAAGGTACTTTGTTCTACCTCAATTAAATGCCAGAAAACTTTGGTGTAAATTTGTAGAACGTCGAGCCTAATCCTCAAAAATCTTGTGGCCCATACAAACCTAAAGAAAATCGGCTGTCCAACGAAATATTAAAATATCCAAGCCGATACAATTCCCAGAATCACGATACAATCGGAATGGTAGTTATATCCGGTAATGGTCACGTAGTTTCTGGAACATCGACTAACGGCGCCAAATTTAAAATCCCAGGGTAAGAATCCGGTTGCAAATAGCTCGAATCAATTTAATTTCATAAGCGATTTGTTTTATTTTATCAGAAGAGTTGGCGACTCTCCAATACCCGGAGCGGGCGCATACGCTGATAGTAAGTTTGGTGCAGCCGTAGCCACTGGAGATGGTGATGTCATGATGAGATTTTTGCCCAGGTGATTTTTCCAATCGAACCTTTGAATATATATAAAAATGTTGTTTCAGTTTTTTAGCAGTTGAAAAATTGAGAGATGGCGTTTCATCTCAAAAAGCTGCATCGATAGCACTGGCCAGAATTACGGAGAAATATCCGAATTTTTTCGGTGCCATTGTCGTGGTCGATAAAAAAGGAACCATAGGAGCCGCTTGTAATGGAATGGAGACATTTCCATACACGTTAGCGAACGCCCAATATCCAGAAGGCATTATTAAATATATTAAATGTACTTAAGAAAAGTTATTTACTTTACAAATAAACGAGAGGAATATTATTAACGAACCTTATGTGAATCATTCATCATCAATCATAGTAACGTCATTGTTCATTTGTTGTGTATTTGCCGCTTCGTGCTGAGTAACCCAAGAGCTTGGTTTGTTCTTACTTGTCGCATTATTGTGCATCTGAAAATTTTTAAATTTCAAAAACCGATTCAAATAATGGTCAATTCTGAGTGAAAAAAAAAATTTAAATTTAAGTGGTTAAAGTGAGAAAGTTGCAATCCCACATATTACTCTTCCTCATTTTTGTGAGATTAACAAAAGTTATCTTTGTTGCACCCATAGACCATTTTGCATACAAATTTGCACTTACTGTACAAACAAATTTTAGTATTTTGTGCTTGGATATTTCCTTTTCAGCTTTGGCACCCCAGGAAAACGTTAAATCATTCGTTAAGGTATTCTTTTCTATATTCAAGTATTTATCGTTTTTCATCTTCACGAGTATGAATTCCTTTACGTTTCCAAAAACTTCGTGTTTTCGCTCAACATCAATCCCCAGTTTTAGTAAAAATTGGTACATTGAGTCTAAAACCAATACATAATTGTAAGTAAATTCTAATTTAAATTAATATTTAAACTTACTTTCACCTACACTATTGTTACTCATAAAAATATGACTTAAAACTAGCATCACGAGGATGTTATTTACATCTGCCGGTAAATTTCTTTCTGTAATACTTTCAGTTGGGTCCCTAATGTATGGTAAAGCATTACTCATCGAGTACGTTTTAGCATCTAACGTGTTAACGTTAAATCCATAAACCTACAAGAATCAAATTAGTTGTTATAAATTTAATAAAAGTTATAAATTTACTTACATCCGATAACACTCTCTTAGTTCCTTCGAGAATATCTTGAAAACTTCTCCCGCTTTGTGGAAGGATCTTCTTAAGATCGGACTGTTTAAATATCGAATTTTCCCCTGCTCGAATCACAAAATATTGAACTAACTTATTAATTTGTTCTTCGATGTTCATATCAACCATATATTCGTCTTTAACAAGCTGCGTTTGAGTCTTGAATAGATCTTGAGAGCATCGTTGACTTTGTGATAAGTTTTGAGACCTCTTAGATCGCCTTTGACTCGACATTTTCGATTAATTTAACACTACAAACAAGAAAATTGTCAACTAAACTCTTTCAACTAAACAGTTTTTATATACAAATAAAATGAGGTTATAGAGTAAATATGTTTCTACTTCTGTTTTGCAACTTGTAGGCTTGATCTTCGAAGACAATCAGCCAACAAGTGATTATTTTTTTGTATGAAATTGTCACTTGAAATATGTGACGCAATATGCCAATTTAAATTTTTTTTCAAAAATGGAATTAAGTAAAAAAGAAATCGCGGAAGACTTATTTTTGACGGTAACGCACAAAGACTTTCGTGGAACTCCGAAAAAGCGGTAATTTATTCGAAAAAGGGATAAAAAATTCGAATCATATTGATCTGAATTGTAAATTATAGAAGGCCAACGTTTGTACCATTTGAATACAATAATCCAATAACCGAGGCTTACAGGATATATTTAAAACTTGACCCGGAGGAAGGAACTCTGGTATTCCCAGAAGATGATGCCGACGAATATTTATTAAAGGTGCCTTTAATTAATTCAAATAACATTTTACGTATTTCAAATAACGTTTCAGTTGTGAATTAAATTATCTTTTATCTTTGAACGATTTAGTAATCTCATACACAAGAGTTTGTATACTTAACAGGTCAGAGAAAATAAGAAAAAAATAGGCGAGATGCATTTCAGCGAGCCCTTGAATCACCCGCTTATAAAAAAAGAGCAACAATTAATATACCGACAATCACTATACAGAAAAGATTATTGTAAATATGGTATGTTGAAAATTACCGATCCATTGGACACACGAATTTTATCACTCAATTTCTAGTTAAAAGGAAAGAAAAGCTGGTACTACCCGATGACTGGAAACTTCCTGAAACAACGATACAAGATGATTTCAGAGATCCCAGCATTTACGATAAAACGTGCTTTTCAAATCCTACTAGACTGCACATATCACCCACATCTCTAGGACAAGACAGTACGCAATTTACTATCACTATCATTAATAAATCTAATTTGTATATTACGGTCTTTTTAGGAACGAGAAATGAAATTTTGAAAGTGACAACCGGCACTACAGCTTATGAAGATTACCACAGCAAACTCGGAGAGATAATTATCAGAAAGAAGCTATTTGGAAAAATCACGCGTCCGAATATTATGTTGCCATCATCAACTGCAGTTGTTTAAAAATACGTAAAATTTTCATAATAAGAACACGATGAATACAAATTGATTTATTTGCAATCTGGCTGTACTGTCGAAGATTTTTTTTCTTCCATGGCTTTTTTTTCTTCGATGGCTTTTTTTCGCAAATCTGCTTCTTCCAAACGCTTAAATCCGAACATTCCGTAGTGTTCTCGGAACGTTGTCATCGGAGTGTACATATCAGCTTTAGGAAAAAAGCCCAATACTGAAAATAATCATATTTCTCAACAGATTCCTTAAAAATACTAATAGAATATTTACGATCCCTAGACGTTTGCAGCGGTCGCATAATCTTAATTTTACTTTTATCTTTTTGATAAACTGGCCTAAACGAGTCCAGTAACTTAAACGCGCCCAATGATTCTTTCTTCGTGTCTTCGCCAATTACTAAAAAGTTCAAAATGAATTGATTACAGGAGAACTGGACAATGCATGAAGATTACCAGGCGGTGACCAGTCTCTGCAATAATCATACCTATATGTTGTTGTGGAATATCTTTTTATATTTTGATTACGTACGGCTTGCTCCATTTTCACATAGTCGTACTGAAATTGAATTAAGCAATTTGAAATTTATTTATGTAGTTATTAGCTCAATGAAGTTATATGTAGGAAAGATTTTTGAACACTTTGTTCCAGTACAGTTTTATTGTCTCCATTTTTTTAATATTTGTTCCAGTAGCGATCAAGTTTTAGTTTTATTGTTTCGGTTTTTTGAAACTTTGTTCCAGTATAATTCAAGTTTCAGTTGTTATATTTAAGTGTCCAGTTATTTCATAAATTCATAAATCAAGCTACAATTTAACGTCCTGATAATAACAATTTTACATTGAGCTTACATCACTTTTGGTTTTCATGTTGTACCAATAATCTTCGCGTCCGTAACATTCTGGATAAGTTTTCTCCGGATTAATACTACAATAAATATAAATCTAAGTTTCTTAATAATTATACATTTTTTACAAGCTTCGCATTTTAGTACCAACTTACATGGGCTGGACCGGTTGCGGTCTATTTTGATAATCATTCTTATAAATGGTGACGAAAGCTTGGGCCATATTTTTAATTGTACTAAAAATTTGATTCCCCAATAAATTTGAACGCGCTCCCGTCGAAATCAAGCGGAATTTTCTGACGTACGTCAACTAATCTCGAATGAAATCCCGTTTAAAACGGCCTAAATTCTTCGTTTTCTGTGTGGTCCCGTTTTAAATACGCGAGCAATCCATTATATTTATTGTATTCTTCCACGTGCCTGCGCAAATCCGAGAACAAAATATTGAACATTTGTCGATGAAATTAATAGATCGATCGCTCTCTCATTGACGTCATAAACATTATAATATGCAACTCGAAAATGTATTTTTGGATCTAATATGTGTACAAAAGAGAGCGATTTATATTTAGAATAACATGTACAACTGTTTTTCACTTGCTTCCTAGCGCGAGTAATATTTAAATAATTATCTGAAACGGCAATCAAATATCATTTTGGAAGCGAGAGAAACATTATTTGGGTTGGGTTCCAGACGGAAACGGTGAATGTTCGCTTCGGAACGTTTCCATTTCTTATTGCTAATTCAATGGATATTAATTAGATTTATTTGTGCATGTACAGGTCATTTCAATTAGAACTTTGTAAATATTTTTCACTGCAATAGGACACTCTAAATACCTCATTTTGTTTTGTTCTATTTATTTTTTTCCAGATGTGTGAGAAATATGCGGTCACTTTCTATCCTGGGTAAGTGATGAAGAAAATTTTTGAGGATTTGATTCATTCTGATTCATGCGAAAGATTATGTGGAAAACTGGCGGTATTTTTGTCACATTTAAAATTCACTACCACACAGAATTATTTGGATAAATTGTGAATATTTAAACACAAAATTGTATAAAGATTTTATACGATGTGAATAATATATGAAGAAAAAAAATTCATTCGGAAATGATAACTTCACACTTTACCTACCACTTATTAAAATATACAAAGTTAATTAAGTTTACAGCATGATTTATAAACTGTTGCTCATACTATTAAGTCCGAGTTGTAATTTTGTCGAAAAGGCATCAAAGAAGATTTCTAAAAATATTTTTACGGCAATAAAAAGAACTTTTTCCATCTTTTTTAACGCCGATCTTTGTCCGCATTGTCCTGCCCTACTTTCGCAAGACTCTAAAACGATTTTTATTGTACAAATGTAAGCGTTTTGCTCCGTTCCCGGATGCAAATTCGTCGTCCAGGTTCTTTACACTCGCCATTTATTTATGACTTAGCCTTTGATTGGACACGTTTTATTTATTTTTAAGTCTGGTATGGGATACACCAGGATGTAGGCAAACTCGCGTGCGGTGGACATTATTTCTGTTTATTTTCAGGAAATATCTCTCCGGCAACGACATTTCGAAAAAAAATCTCGCAGTTACGAACACAATGTTCGTATTTTTAGAAAATAGTTGCGGCCGATCCTGCGAATCCGACACGTTCGAGACGCTTTGTAAAAGCCGAGCTTATTTACCGAAGAACGTTAAAAAATCGCGACAGCAAAACCAGAAAAAATACGTAGAAAATTAACTATTTTTTCTCACAAATACCTGTCACTGGAGCTGTTGAAAAAACGATTCGGTGTAGCGGTAATGTCGCGTTTCGAAATGAAAAATCGTACGTTTTCCACATCTGGTTTCATTTACGATCATTCGCTTTACTTCTTACTTAATTTTATTCCTACCTACTTATACAATAATTAACACAGAACAGACATTTACGGGGCCCACGAAAGGGATATTACACAAAAATACGTCAATAAAGATCATTAAATATACGTTTGTTTCTAATAAACTAGGAAAATATTATCTAGCCATTAACTATTTTACTTTACACATATCTAAAACCAAGGGAGTAATGAAATTTAATTAGTTTAATTTTATTATTTGATTTATATAAAAAAATTACCTAAAATATTACCTACCTACTAATAATTTTTGTTCACTTTGAAATTTAATTTCAAATTGACGATTGTGCATAAAAATTTTGAAAATATTTTGAAGAATTTTTGAAGTTTTCTTAAAGGTTTTCCAAGGATAATCAAATTTAAAAGATATTTTAATCTTTATTCAAGAATAATTAAATTGTGAAACTTATAAACTTTTACAAGAATTTATCTATTTAGAATATTTTTATTAACCATAAAATTGAAAACAGGCTGTAAAGAATAAGTTAAAACAATGGAAAATAAGAAAAGAATATATCGCTCAGAAAGTTCCTAATTTATTCAACTTTATATTAAGAATAAATAAATTGTAAAACTTTTCCAAACATTTTTTAAGAATTTATTTAGAAAAATTTTAAGAGTTTGATTAACTATAAAATTGAAAACAGGAGGTGAAAAAGCAATTATGAAACAAAGAGAAATAAGAAAAGAATTTATAGCTCAGAAAATTCCCAATTTATTTAACTTTGTTCCGGAAAATAATTAAGATGTCGAAAGGAAATCGCTTTGTGTAGCATCTACACACCTTTTTCGCGGTTTATTTTTTATTCGCGTAGACGTGAAACTACTTACATCCGATCGGAAAAGCGCATTGACGTCATTTTATGCGGCGGCCGTTTTCCCGATCAAAAAAAACCGAGTTAATAAAATTTTTTCAACCTTGCGTAAAAAAAGCAAAAACCGCACACACAGATGGTTAAAAAAGAATAAAGAAATAAAAGCATCTTGGCTCGAGATCTATGAAAATTCGTTTCAGTAGCAACTTTTCAGTCAGAGCTGCATGTACCGAAAATAAGCCAAGACGAGTTGTATACGGTGTCGTTCGAAAATGCTCGAATAGATCAAATACACACCGTGCTCTTCAGATTTTGGATACAGTAACGAATTTTTTTCGAATTTCCAACCAGAGTTTTTTTTGTGATTTTTCGTGTGGGTTTTAAACAGTGTTTTAAACGAGCGTGATGTGACCGAAAATTGTGTGAATATTCGTATCAATGATTAGTATAGCAAGGAGTGATATTGATATACATTCAACATCTTTCACCACCAAATTTTTCTCGCTCATGGGGACAGAAAATATAAGTGTCACCAGAAGCAAGACAATTAGTAAGTATTTTTATATCATCAAGAATTATTATGTATAAATTTTAATAATTTTTAAAAAGAAAAATAAATTAACAAAATAACTAATTTTTAAATTTTGTTAGAAAAATATTGACACATTGATTAATTTGGAATAAATTTCTAATTTGTTGTGGTGTGGACGAAAGGGTGAAGGGTAATTTATTTTCGAGTTTAGTTACTTTTGTAGGTGGTTTTGCAATTTTTTTATACAGAAATAATCGTTGGCAACAGATACGTAGACTTTTGGCACAACGACGTATTAATTGCACGTTTTTTTGCGATGTCAACAAATGCTATGTTGGTGGAAGTCATGGTCAAAAATTACAAGAATCAGTAGAAATCTTAGCTCAGAAGTTAATCCTTTAAATGTTTTCTATAAAAAAAAAACGCTCAAATGCGTATAATCTACTACAAGTACAATTAAATCACCTTGTACAAATCAGTTGGTGGGCAATATATTACAAATAATTTCCGTTTAAATTAAATTTAATGTAAATCTGCTGGATTAGTTGGTGTAATTTTTAATCACTCAATTCAGTGATGTAGTGAAAAATGTTTGAACATCTCGAAAAAACAAACAAACCGACGGAATCCGAATATAAAAGCGTCACTATCCACGTCGATTCCAATATTTCAAATTGAGCGTACGAATATTCAAACAGTTAATTGTTCGAAAAAATAACGTTGAAATAAATGCGTTTAAAACATATCGGTATTAAGAGTATTTAACGTTAATAACTGGTTTTTATATTTAGAAGTGATGAAAAACTCGCAAATGGATTAAGAAGTTGCCAGAAAGTTTGACCAGTATAAATTATACCTTTTTCCTTATGACTAATCATAGAAGGAAAACCGTTTAATAATCGCCACAATAAAATCATTCGATCTAAAAATATTTAATCGACATCTATGAATAGATCGAAGCTTAATATCAAAGCCTATAAATACACAATTTCAGGTCCCGATATTTCATACCTAAAGTTCATTTACAAACCCTGTAATGTTATGAAACAATCTCTTCGAAAATCTATTAAACTTTTACGTACTTGAAATTAATTACATTGACACATTAATTGCTGACAATACGTTTTTCACATCTACAGAAATGATTAATTAATAATCCAATCAATAATTAGCAATTGAATTATTATTTCCTATCTAAATACACTCACTTTTCGTCGATTTTCAAACGATTAGGATTAGCGTTTCATTGAATTCATTAAATAATTAATTGTTATTGATAATCAGACTTGTTTTTCTCGTGATCGAATCGGTCGAGTAGACTTGTGATTCATTCGCGCGATAAATAAAATCGGTAAATCGAAATGCGATGTCCGAAAATTATATCATAACGAAATGTAACATGTCTTCTGTCAATTTGCCAAAAAATTGTCTAAGGATCTATATTTGAAAGCGATCGATGTGTTATAAATCTGTTTTACTGCCCAATGAAAAAAAAAAACGTTAAATACCAGTCTAAACGTATACGCAGAATTTAATAACAAGCAAACACGGGAGGTCAGTTAAACACGTTAGTTAGTTAGAATCATTACATATTAATTACATAAATTTAATTAGTAATTAAAAGACAGTTTGAAACAGACGCGGGAGGTATTATTGTTAAATAAAACAAATTTGTTTCAGAGAATTTTTTATACTAATAAATATTTACTTACACGGACGCTAATAAAACCTGTAATTGCAGTTCAAGGAAGCAGACTTAATAAATTCAAATTTTTTACAGTTTCCTCAGATCAATAAAATGATTTACGCGATTCGAGTTGTAAATTATCTTTTCGGCGGCGATCGTGCGTGCTATGAATTTTCAGAATAAATCGCATGATAAATCAAAAACTGGATTATTTTTAAATGAACTAGAAAAACCCATCATAACTCGATTGAGTAAAAAATATATATTTTTTTAAATGTAGCGTAACTTAAAACATAAATATTTAGATCTTTGAACTCTTCAAACATTGTTTCATTCGTTATTATTTAGATATATTATAGAAAGTTTTCAAAAGTATTAGTTTTTGACATATTTTGACTTGTTTAAATTTGTTACAAATAAAAAAATTCTTTAAATCAGTTGTAATTATTTGGACAAGATTTTGTGCATGTAATAACTGCGTTAATTCATAAATTACAATATGTAGGTAGGTACATAGTTTACTTTTTGATGGATTTAATGAATATTGCATGATACAATAAACCAATTTAATTTATAAAGTAGTATTTAACGTTTTCCAATAATTTTATTTGAGAAAATTAATTACATTCCTCAATTTAACATACCAGGAATTATTTATTGAATATTTGGTACTATCATTCATTTGTGAGTTTTATCACAAATATCATGTAACTAGTGCTATTTTTACGTATATTTGCTACAATTTGCCCGATATTTTGTTTCCTAATGTAAGGATAAACAAATTGCAAATTGCATAGGCCAGCCGAATTGTTGGTAAATAAAATTCTAAAAATCCCGCCTTAGTAACAGCCGTTCTTGCTTTTAATTTTAGTTCGCAATACGTCGAGTAATTGTTTATAGATAAAGCGATCAATCAATAAAGTTTCCTTCGGGAATTCAGGCGTGACGTTCAAAGGCGATTTTTAATTAGATGATTTTAAAAATAGTAAGAGTGTGCGTCCGGTGTTTTACGAATTTTCGAATTTCTTCGATTGGTTTGCACCTGCAATTCCTCCATTTTTACGAATTTAAATGCATCTTATAAAATTTTAATCTAAATTTAGATATTTTAGACAATAAATACGATCAGCACTTAAAGTCAGGCAGTCTGTGCGTATTTACGAAAAAAATCGTACAGCTAAAATTAAGCCTGGTCTTTTATAAAAGCTAATTATCCTTCGAGTTAAAATTGTTCAAAACGAAGTTACGTTGATTTAACGTCTATCTAGTTAAATCGAAAGAGATGCAAAATAATGAAACAAGGACAGGAAGCAGTTATTACACGTACTCCGTGGAAATATTAATTACATTCAAAGTTAAACGTGACGTTGGGAGGATATTTGGCAAAATATCCCCGCAAGGATAATTTATTCGTATTTTTTTTCCAATGCTTAAAGACTTCACGATGTTGCGCCGGAATATAAATTCGGTTTAGTGTTGTTTTCCTTATGATTTTAGTGCTTTAATACGTTATGATATTCCGCTGCAATTACTTGTTTTCGTATGTCGAAAAATCGCTTTATAATACAGTTATTAGCGCGATCTTTCATATTAGCTACACCTACATCTACTGATTTAGAATAAAATATTGCTCTGTCTGTTTTAAATTCGGAAATTTACAGTTAATTTTGAAAATCAATTCACACACATACAGCGCTCCTTTTTAACGCTAATCAAACCTTTAAAGATTCTCTTTAACTTGCCAGTTGTACATTGTAGTTATAGATAGAATAACTGTGGACATTGTTTACATTAAAGAAATTCTTTAACCGATTGATTATCGTTAAAAAGAGGTGTTGATAGGAGCCTCTTCTTTAAAAACCTAATAAAGCTTACTAATTGAGTGAAAAAATTAATCTTGTAACAAAATTACATATTAAATACTACGCAATTATATTTAGACGATAACGTAATATGTCAAAGTTAGACGATGTGTGCTTTATACGACTGGTTTATGATTTTTGGCAAAGTTAACCCAGCCGGTAGTAGTAAAATTCCTAGCATTCTACAAGTTCCTATACGGGGCAGTTCAGAAAAAGGCAATCAAAATGCGCTGATGCTTGATTAAAAGAATTACATACAGTTTTTATACACTTAACTTTCCTTAGATATCAATACTTTCTGTAATATAAAGTTCTGGAGAAAATTTTAAACAGTATTTTCTCAAACTTACATAGATGTGTTGTAGGAAATCAAAACCAAAAAGTAGTATATTATTTTCGTATCCAATACGGATTATTTATAAAGTTAATTCGCTCGAAGTCAACTAGTTAACCTAATTTTTAATAGTTAACGTAATCAATGCGGCGTAGCGTTCGGGTTTTCGGTTTGTCGCCAAAATTTCATTAATATTTTCTAAAAATTAATCCGATCCGTCGACGCCTCGAACGATGACCCGCTTATCCAGTTAGTCCAGAGGAAGAATTGACGTCACGCCCGACCATCTGGAGAATATTCCATCAACCGAAACTTCCAATGACGCGCATTCGGAAGTCGATTAAATTTGTTGTTGTTGGTTTATTTTCTTTTTCTCTAAATATTAGCCGAAAAGTTTTCGAATAGGCGTAAATATTTTTTTTCTTTTTCGAAAATAACTAGAGACGGAATGCTATTATTTCGATAGGAGAAACACCGTGATTATATCAGGAATGATGTTTCTGTAAAGCTTGTAATACATTCTTCATATATTGCGTTTTAGAACAGCTTTAACGTAAATATGCATTCATTAAAATCTACTTGAACCTCCTGTAATTTAAATAAATACTTCTCATAGAGAAACGAGAAACGTCTGGAAAACACTATCATTTTAACGTGAATCTGGCTAGATGGTTCAATTTCAATGCTCGTACATTATACAATATACAAGATGCTTAATACATTTCTCCACATCTTCTTCTTCATCTTCCACATTGAGAAAAAGCGTCTGGAAAATCCTCATTTTCCTTACATTTTGTGAATAAGCTATCCCCTAACAAGCATATAGCTAGAAGATTCAATTCAAATGCTTATAAACATCGTGTTGTAGAACATTTTCTATTGTATTATAAATAATCCTTCATCAAAATCTATTTAAATCTCCCACTAATTTACTCCTCCTTTTTATTATCTTCCCCATGGAAAATTCGAATTTTCCTTGTATTTCGTGAATGCGGTGCCCTCTAACGTGAATCTGGCTAACTTGCTTATAGCGTGTTTTCAGGAAAGCTGTAGATAAATTAGAATTTCCCAATATCGTGCTGCCTCCTGCGACCGTTGTACCAAACGATTTTAACGTCTGCGTAGAGCTAAAAAT